TTAATTGAAATAATGCATAAGTATTATCCTCTCATTTTCCACTTGATGAAACAAGGAAGTTCCTTGCCCTTGATCAAGGAGTGAATGTGGCCGTAATAATGGAATGAGATCCAGCCAGGTGCAAGCAGAATTGTCTTCAGTTTTTCTTACAGCTGCTTCTGCAAAACCAGTTCTATCACCTTGTTTACCACTTCTTAGCGAGATCTTGGGCAAGTCCTGGAGCTTTCTCCATGGACTTTGGATAGTAAGAAGTCCCTCACTCATTTTCAGGTAATAAAAAGGGCAGTCTACCACCAAAACTCTGGCCCATGGTCTCTTTCAAAATGTCTTTCCTTCCCATGTTTGCACTTATCTTGGACCTGAAGCCTGCAGTAGGAAAAGCAGGTCGTGGTCAGAATCTTGTCTCTTTCTCTACCTATCTCCTTTCTAGCTCACAACTGCAGTTTTGATTCCTTCCAGCTGGATGCTTGAGAAGGGTGAGAAGTAAGGATGGAAAAAGTTTTACTTTTAATCTGGTGTTGAAGCCCTCTGGATGAGACCGAAGTCCAAAGTTGTCTTTCTTATGGGATGCCCTTGTGGGCTCTTCAGAGTTATTCTCACTAGAAACATCTGACCGAAGTCCCCCAGACTGGATTATCCTTCCTTTGGCAGACTGTTCTTAGTTTTGCCTTTATTTTTTCTCACAAGGGTGTGTGTGTGTCCAGCCTCTTCTTTCTGTGCAGCCTCTCTTTTGGCAGGAAGCCTTGCAACGTGTACATTCCAAGTCAGCTTATGGCCAACTCGCTCCATGGGATCCACAGAGCACAGAGAGTATGTGGACGGAGCACATCCATAGATGTGCATCTTGTGTCCAAAGCTGTGTCCCCTTCTCCAACGGCTTAGCAAATTCAATCTTTACAGTAATTCTAAGAGCTATTATCTTCCCCATTTTACAAATGAGAAAAGATGAAAGTATAATAAACTTGTTCAAAGTTATAAAGTCAGTAATTGTCAGAGCTGGGAATTCTTAACCATTGAGCCTCTTGGTCATGACAATTCTGTTTTTAGAAGTCTCTTCCTAGTCAGAATCTTCTTTGATCTAAACTCTTTTAACTATCCTTCACTGCTTGACCACTGTTCTATGACTGCCAGGGCCAATGAGTCTCCTCTCTAACATCCAATTTCACCCTTTAAAGGTAGTGGTCTTTATTGTCTGTCCATTTAATCAGCTACCATCTGCAGTGGTTAAAGTATTAAAATCAAGGTTGGGACATTTGTCTACATATCATGGCACTCTCAGGTATGTACATCGCTGCCAATTCCCTTCAAAGACCACTTGATTTCAGTGACAACAGCTATGAAGCCACCTCCTGAGCAGCAATAAACCCCAGGATAAGCCTTGATGTCCCAGGCAATGCTGAGGGGTTTCACAAGAGGAGGAAGAAGCAGGTCACTGGGGCAGGATTGGGGACATTCTAACTGCTTTTTCAAAGGAAGCCAACTCTTAAGAGTTGGGGATCACCTTTGAGAAAAAAGAATTTATGGCTTTTGAAAAAAATTTAAGTAACAAGTAAAGGACTACTTTTAATATTTTTATTACCATGTGCACTTCCTTTATAGATAAAGGATTAGAAGAACACCATGCAACTGCTGTTTAATTAAATTAGTAAGTCCATCAAACATTACAAGATAATAGTTGAGTTGGTACTTGAAAATGGCAGAAACTTGAAGGTTATGCCCAAAGACTGAAATCTGAATGTGTTTACGTTGACACATCTCAAAAGAGGGATCCTTGTCTGTTATTTTTCTTGGTATGTTTCCATGCTACCAGTCCCTTCTTCCAAATCTCACAGAAGTGCAAGGAAATACACTGAACACCGGAAACTCTAGTCCACACAGGTGTCAATTCAGTGCATATATGCCCAGGAAGAATTTTTATAAGGCCTTGTTAAGCCTGCTGTCTTAGTCAGCTACTGCCATAATAATGCTTTGTAACAAATTGCTCAAAACTCAGTGGTTACAAAAGTAGACATTCTAATGTCCAAAGATCTGTATGTTGACTGCTGTCCAGGTGGTATAGGCTGCATTCCATTGTGTTTCAGGTTGCATTTGCATGGGCTTGAATCTAGGACGTAGGTTTATACAAATGTGCTGTATGTGCTTGTTCAGGGATTCAGGTTGAAGGAGCCGGGGCTAAGCAAGCCATGTTTTCCCGTATGGATTGCCTTAGTACAAGAGTCAGCCAAGTCATGCAAGTAATTTGCACTCAGTTTTCGTTTTCATCACGGTTAGTAATGTTCCATTGGCCAAAGTAAGTCACATGGCCAACGCCAACATCAGTGGCCCAGGAGAAGTGTTTTATTCCTAGTGGGAGGGGAAGAGTAGTGAATAGTTGTTAGATAAGAAACCCAAACCATCACAGCCACTTTGCTGAAAACCTCACACCCTCTCCAGATAGGGGGCTTGGTCCACCTGTGTGGCAGCAGAAATATTTGCACTTTATATGAGACCAGCAGAAATCTATATAGAAAAGAAATGTCAGGAACCCAACTGGGTCAGTCTTCTATGTGAGGAATGCCTACAAATACTTATGCCACATAAATGGTGGCCCTTGTTATATATGCCCTTAAGCATTGCATGGCATCTCAGTCTTCATGGCAATGTGGCATTTTCTTATCTGTGAACTTTAAACCAGCATTTCCACCCATGCAAATGGTCATAATGCCACCCTAGTTTTGCAGAAAAAAATTTAAAACTAGTGATTTTAACATTGACCATGACCACTTAATTTCTTTCTGGTTATGCTTCTGACTGTTGGCTCTGTCCCCTCTTTTAGGCCTAACACTTGTCCTTCAGAGCTTGCACCTGAGCTTGCTTGCACAGATTTAGGCTTATATACACTCTAAGGATTTTGCCTTAAATTCGCACCTTGGATCTTCAACTCCTGGCATACTCAGGACTCAGGTAAGTTCCTATAATCTAGCTCCACACCCACAGACATTTATTCTCAATCTCCAACACTACCCCAGGTGAGCTTTACACAGGGATTACAGGAGGTAGATATCCTTTCAGTACCATGAGTAGAAAAACTCAAAAATCAAGGCTGAGTTTAGACAAAGTCATCAGCAAGATGCGTTGAGTTCAAGAACTAGATATGAAACGAAGCTATCAGGTTGGTAAGAACACTAGACTCAGTAAGATGATATCCAATATTAGAGTCTGGGGAAGTCTGCATAGATAGCTATTAGCTCTATCTGGTCTCCACGGAGTCTGAAGATTCACACCTTTGCCTGGCCTGATGCCCTTATTCTTAAGCTAGAGCACCTGCTACCAATAATACTTACTACTGATTGCTTGTGTTGCACACAATAGAGCAAGCTTCCTTTGAATTGAAATAAGGAACCTGGGAAGCTGTCCCTTTTATTTCTTCTCTTCTTCCCTTCCCCCCTCCAAATTCAATCCTTTAATTCCCTTACCTCTATTTAAACACGCACGCACACACACAGCACCTTACTTAGAAAATATTGCATCCTTGGTGGTAATTTCCTCTTTCCTTTATTTTCAGATGTTGACCTTCCTGTTTCGGTCTTCTGTCCCTTTCTGCTTCCCAGCAACAGGGTAATCAGACATCACATCTCAATGGGCTGCACTGTTCCTGCGCTCCAACCTCCTCCAGCCCTCTGCACCTGTCTTGGCTCTACCATCCTTCACCTCATAGATTCAGTAAATAGACTCTGTATTTCACAGATAAAAATCATGTGGTCTAGTGCAGAGCAGGACCTTTAGGTCTAGACAGCTTGGAGTTGATATCAATCTGGGTTCTACCAGTTGCTAGTCATGTAATCTTGGGAAGGTCTCTTAATCTGTACCTCCAATTTCCTCATCTGTAAAACAAAATAACCATACCTCCTTTGACAGATTAGTGTAGGACTGAAGAAGTAATGTATGTTTTGCATATTGTAGGCCAAGAACCAATGATAGGTATCATCATTTGCATGTGTTTCAGAGTTTCTAAGAGCAATACAATGATATTAGACCATCCACACAGTAAAGGATAAGAGATGGCAAACCTTTTTTTCCACTTGTGGTGGGTCTCATGTCTCAGTGGAATACAAGAAAAGGCTAAGAAGTTGCTGAGACATTGGAGAATGGAGACTTTTTAAAGAGAGTCTGGGGTTACTGGGGTTTTCCTTTCCCTCTCTGTGAATAATGTTTACCACTCACTTTGAGGCAAATAAGGATGTTCAAGAGACTAATTTGGGGAACTTGACATATCAGGAAGTAGCACATGACTTGTGTCTGAACATTATAAAGACAAGAGACTCTGGCAAAGGCATGGAGTAGGGCAAGAGATGCCTCCCAAAGGCAAGATCACTTGGGGAGTGAAGACTCCCTGCTGTGCCTCCCCTGGGAAGCTGAGATAAAGGAGGAGAGGCCAGGGTGTCTCCGGACTGATAACCAGGCTCCACCCAGAGGCCAATGGTGTGTGTTTGGGGATGGGGGGGAGGTGGTGGTGAGCGGCAGAAGTGCCCCTTCTCCAGGACCAACAAACTGGCGTGGGAGGAGGAGGGAGGACATTTCTTGGGTCCCAGTCTTCAGACTCAGCACCCAGAACAAAACCAGGAAGGATTTGGGGAGCCAGAGAAAAGGATAGTCGGACGGACAGACAGACAGAAGGCAAGTCCTCTAGAGAAATCCATTTCTTTTTTGAGTCGGAGGCCTGGGCTGAGGAATGGGGGTGGCTGCTGTACGAGAAGGCCCTGCCCCCCCACCGGAGGGGGCGTGGAGAGGCTTGGAGAGCAGAAGGAAGGAAGGGCAGGAGGTGATAGGGGCTTCGTGGTTCACGCAGGGCACAGGTTCATTCTGCAGCCTGTCTGGGAACACCGCCCTGGGATGAAAATATGTGTGGGGTGCCGTGTGTGGGCGGAGGTGCCAAAATGAGCTGATATAACTCTGTTTAATGCACCCCCATTCCTGATCTGGCTTCTCTCCTCCTGTTCTCTCAGCTCCGGAGGGTGGGCACAAGTGCAGAGAGAACCACGGGGACCCAGCTGGGAGAGTAGAATGGGGACTCTCTGGAGCCAGGAGGTAAGTGACGTCCTCGTGCTGGGCAGATTTGTGACCCCTACCAGCTCTAACATCCCACGCCTCACGGCCTGCTTGGCCCTTGCGCAGGACAGGCAGCGTCTCCTGTCTGTACGTCTCCCGGGGGTCCGCAGAGGGCTGCGCTGAGGGAGAGGGAGGACCATGATCTCTGAACAAGGGGCTTGTGGTACTAACTTCTTTATTCTCTCCCCTTTCCCCTCTCCGCTTCCCTTTTCACCCTCTCCTTCCCAACCCCCTCCCTCTTGTGTTTCTCACCCCCTGGCTTCCCGCATACACAGAGACCCCCGGAAGAGGGGCAGCCCACTGAACGGAGCAGATGGTGGGCCTCGGCCAGGCGGTTGCTAACGGCGGTCCTGCTTTTAAGCCTGCTCCTTGGTTCTTCTGTGCTTTTGTTCTACATCTTCCGGAGCTGTGGGCCGCGTAAGCAGGACCCTGGAACCCCGAAGCCCATCAGCCGTCCCTCAGTCTTGGGCCCCGTCTCTCCACCACCCCAAGGCTCCGTGCCCCCTGACTTAATCTACCACTCATCCTGACCCTCCCATCTACCACCTCCCGAGTCCTTTCCCCTGACTCCCACCCGAGAAACCAGCAAGATCACTTCCTTCCCACCAGGGTCCCTCCCTGGTCCTTACCAGGTGTTCCTTTGCCCAGCCCCTCGGGGGAGCCCTCACCTTGCTCTTCTTTCCCAGCTCTGAGCTTTTCCCTGCAGGCCCCTGTGAGAGAACCGCGTGCTGGCATCTCCTGGATTATTACCTGGCCTCCGGGAACACCAGTGTGCCCCCCTGTACCGACTTCTTCAGCTTTGCCTGTGCAGAGGCCAAAGGAACCAGTAATTCTTCTCAGGCCCTTGCTGACGAGAACAAGAGCCGACTTCGGGGGATACTGGGTATGTACGGAATGCCGGGTGAGGATTCTCTGTGCAAATGGGTGACTCTGAGCCTGGAGCCGCCACGATGCCCACATCTGTGTGGTTGTGGGATGGCTGGTCTGCACCGTCCCGAGTGGGCTCCCAGGTTTGCAGCTCTCTCGCTGGACTTTTGCCTTGGGCACCACCTCTCATCCATCACTTCTGGTCCCTCTCTTCATCTTTGCTTCATCCCCATCCTCCTCTTTCCTTCCCCGTTTATCCCTGATGACTCCACTCTCTCCACGTTCTCCCTGTTACCAAGATCCATCTTCTTTGCTGTCTCCCTTACGTTTTTCCATGTCTGTCCTGTGCCTGGTACCTCCCCCACCAGCATCTCCTCCAGAGCTTTTGCACGTGAATTCCCCTCTCCATCACTTTCAGTCTCTAGCCTTCAAACCCTTCTTGATCTTGAGGAAGCAGGGTAATGGGGAAGGATGATGGGAGAAGAAGGTGGAAAGAAGGAAGTGGCAGACCGGGGAGAGCAGGGCCACAACGAACTTTCTCTGGCTGTGTTACAGGAATGTGTAGATGGGTTCAAAGAGCAGAGCCAAGTTAAAAACCCTGGGGGTAAAGAAGACTTCTGTACACAGCGATGGTGGAGAAAAGATCTGAGAGGAAAACAATGGCGGGGGGGGGGACTGAGGCCCCCTAGAGGTTGGGGAAATAAATGCCTCCTTCTGCCCTCCTTGGGATGCAGGAAGAGTAGCAGTCTCATCCTTGGTGGGGGCCATGCTTTCCGTTAAGGCACAGAGATGAAAAGAAACAATAGGTTTAGGAGAAATTCTGTCGCCCACCATGGAATGAACAGCTATCAGGGGGACCAAAGAAGAGGTGCTGGATGGTAGAGGGTGGATTATTCCAATGCATGTGTGTTTGGGTTGTTGTCATGTGTTTGTTTATTTTGAGGGGGAACCAAAGAGTGAGATTCTGGACCAGGGCAGCCCGTCCTGTTTCCTCACTTTGCGAAACCTTTCCTTATGAACTTTTCTTTCCTCAGTCCCTCCAAGTTCTCTAATTCCTCTGTTCATCTCCATCCTCCCTTCCATTTCTACCCTTCCTCCTTTACCCATATCTCACTTATTCCTCTCTCTTCCTTTTTGTCCCTGTCTTTTCCTCCTTATTTTCTTTCTCACCCTCTCTTTCTTTTCCTCATTATCTTCTCCACTTTCTTTTCCCTGTCTTTACTCTTCCATCTAGGGGATCCAGAGTCCAAATTGGACAGTCCTCCATATTCCCAAATTTCCTCACCTCTCCATTCCCTCCCTGCCCCGCCCCCCACGGCTTTCCTTCTCTCCCTGTAAGTTCCCTGCTTCACACCTTCTCTGCTTGTCTCTGCGGGGGCGCCACTCCTGCACTTCACCATGCTTCTTTTCTAGAGGCCCCCAGGTCCTGGCCCCCAGAGTCTGGGGAGGAGAAAGCCTTCCAGTTCTACAACTCCTGCCTGGACACACACGCCATTGAGGCCGCAGGGGCTGGTCCCCTCAGACAGGTGATTGAGGAGGTGAGAAACGGGGCATGACTTTTCTGAACACATGTTACGTAGGACCAATGTATGCTCAGGGCTTCCGTTTTATTTTCTAGAGGGTGGGTCTCTTTCCTAGGGATCTCCATGTTCTAGGAGGGAGATAGATATGGCAATGCCCTGTGGAAGTATTAGGACCTTGGGTGAGGCCAGAGAAAGAAGGATAGAGGTGATGCTCTGGAGTGATCAAAAAACTCAGAGTAGAAGTCAGGAAGGAGCAGCTATCTGAGGAATGGGGGACAGGTGTCGGAGAGGAGGCCCATATGCTGAAGCCTTCTCTCTCTTCTTCCCAGCTTGGAGGCTGGCCAGTCTCTGGTAATTGGACTTCCTTAGACTTCAACCGAACTCTGAGACTTCTGATGAGTCAGTATGATCACTTCCCATTCTTCAGAGCTTATCTGGGACCTCATCCCACCCCTCCACACACGCCAATCATCCAGGTGAGGGATGTCCTGGCAAAAATGCAGGGAGACCTGGGTCTGCCTGGAATTCTAGCCTATCATCTATTTGGGGAAGCTTGCAGGTTGAGGAGACAGGATAAATGTGCAATGTAGGGGAAAGACCTATCTTTAGGGCAAATTACTTATGTGAGAGTCAGGGATACTACACAAGATCAGGGAAAGGAGTAACAAGGCCAGTCGTGGGAAGACAGAAATAGTTTTGGTTTTCCTTGTTTATCTGAATACCCCTGAGCTTCTTAACTAGTTCCCTGTCTCCCATATTACACTTTTCTTATTTATTCTCTTCTGAGAGACTTTCTCAATCAAGAGCTAATTATGCTATTATCTCTGTAAATGCTTTCATGCTTTCACTGACTCACCACGTCATCAGGATCTATTTCTTAATTGTTTTAGCAAAAACTTGCAAGTTTTTTTACACAGTCTGATTCCTACAGACTTATCTCCAGACTCATCTCCTGCCACATCTCTTCTGCCCCTTAAACTCCAGTCCATGCTCACTCTCAAAAACAACTCAGTCCTTTGCATATAGGACTGCCTTTGCCTGCAACACTACTCCCTAATCTCCTACACTCAGCCTGGGAAACTTACACATTTTTCAAGTTTTGGCTTACATTGTTATCTCTTCCAAGAAGTCTTCACTGACACCTTGGCTAGACTTTGGGAACCCCTCCATCCTCCCTTTCCCATGCTCTCAGCATTTAACGCTGTACTGAAGACTGTAAGCCTTTTAGAAACAAGGCCAATCCTTATTCACCTTTGTTCCTCAGCACAAGGCCAGGCAGCTAGAGGCCCAGACCAGGTGTTGATTGAGCAAGTCAATAAATAAAAACATTGGAGGCATTGGTATTATGATAGACAATGTGATGCTATGTATATGACCCCATTCTCAAAAATTCACAAATTTGTAAGGGGATAAATATACAAGAAGTATGAGGTGCCCTAGACTTAATTTCTAAAGGGGGCACTCAGCAGTTTAATGGCCTTTGGGCATCAGTTAAGATCTGAAATGGTTAAGGAAAGGCTCAGAGAGGGGAGAATGGGAGCTGAGCCCTGAAGTGTGGTTGGTTCACACAGGTAAAGGTGAAGCTAAAGGGAATGGAAAAGGCAGTGGGGGAAGCCCTGAGCTAAGGGAAGAGCCTAGGCTGCTATGATTCCTCTGTGGGGTCAGTGAGGACGCAGGTCTGGTGAACAGGGGGTATAGGGGATATGCAGTTGGAGGTAAAAGGAAAGCTGAAGGTATGAGGTTGGGCTAATTATTCCATACCTAAGAAGAAGACAGAGGGGATAACTGTTGATGTAATAGGAAAAAAAAAAGCTTTCAAATACAATGTTTGTGCACTGAGCTTAAGTAGAGTCAGCAGTTTGGGAGGTCAACCTGGAGGCGCTGAGGAATTGAGCAATTTTGAGGTTCTGAACTAAGATGCTTGTGGTAGAAATGGAAGGGAAAGGCCAGGGATGGCACAAAGGTTTAGGTGGTTTTATCCTTGAGGTCATGGTCCAGAGGACTTGGTGACAGATCAAATATACACAAAGGAGGCAGAGGAATCGGAAAATGATCCCTCACCCAAGTTTTGCCTTGGTGTGAACGGGAGAAGGGTGGTTACTATCAACTTGAGACCACATGGCCTCTGGGGAGAAGATGGGCAGAGAGAATGGATTGCAGAGGGCACAGCCCAGTGAGGGGGTGGGGGCAGAGAAGAGCGAGAATAGGCAGCGAGGGGGGCGTCAGACCAGCACGGGTGAGCCTCAAAGGACAGGGGAGCAGTCAATTTCTGGAGGGATGGCTCATCTCGGATTCTAAGGCTTCTGAGGTCAGAGAATAAGGAATGAGAAGACAACCCTGGAAACCTCCTAGAGATAATATCAGGAACGGTTATGGAAATGGTCACGAGTCCTACCCAGGTTCCGAGGAGGGTGAGGAAGATGAAGCAGGAGTACAGATGACTTAGTTCTTTAGTCTGGACATGACACGCGATAAAGGAGTCAGGCGAAAGTTTTTTCAAGGTAGGGACATGCCTGGAGCTCGAGGTGGGAGACGAGACTGAAGTGGGAAAAGGAAAAGTGTGGGAGAAACAAGCTTCAGAAAGGAGTCAAGGACATGGCAGTGCCAGCACTAAGGAGGGGCCAGGCCGGGGAGCGAGCTGCTGGGCCGCCAAACTCAGGAGGGCACCCAAAGCGCGGTAGTCAAGATAAATCCCATTGTGATGAACAGTTTTTAAAAATCAAAGTCAATGCAAAAATTCAGGATGACCAAAATATCAAATTTTCATTCATTGTGGATTTTTGGGAAAAAGGTAATTTTTTTTCAAAATGGATTCAAACTCTACTGTAGATGTCTTTGAAAACATCTACAATTTTTCAAAAGAGCAGATCAAAAATACACTGAGGGTTTTGGGGAAAAAATACATGGTGAACAAAGCTTTGTTGTTTTGTTCAGCATGAATGTTTAGAATTCATTCTGATTTTTAAAAATATCAGTTAGGATATTAGTTATTTTGATACGGAGTTTCTAGCACCTCTTCAATTTTGCATCCAGAGGGGTATCTCACCCCTATGCCTCGAGCCGGCCCTAGCACAGAAATGGTTCCCTTCAGGACATGGATCACTATGCTTCTCTCGCCGAGCACCCCCTGAACCGGTTGAAACGCCCACGTTCTCTTCACAGTTCCTTGTCTGGACTCTTTCCTTCCATGCCCCTTGCCCCCAGTCCTTTCCTTTCTTTGGACTCTTGCTCCTTCTCTGTGCCCTCCTTATTCCACCTCCTGAGGCCACCTCGCAGGGCCCAGGCCCCACATCCCCACGCCTGTCCTCTCCTTCCTCCACATTACCCACTTCTCTCCAGTCTCTCTTGTGTCCAGATAGACCAGCCAGAGTTTGACGTTCCCCTCAAGCAAAAGCAGGAACAGAAGATCTATGCTCAGGTAGGATGAATGGTGGGCAAAGGGCCTGACCTCTGGTGCTAGGAGAAAGGCGGGGGCCCCTGGTGGCTGTGACTGACGTCACCCCTCCCCCAGATCGTGCGGGAGTACCTGACGTACCTGAACCAGCTGGGGACCTTGCTGGGAGGAGACTCGGGCCAGGTGCAAGAGCACGCCGGCTTGTCCATCTCCATTACCTCCCAGCTGTTCCAGTTTCTGAGGCCCCTGGGCCAGCAGCGGGCACAGGAAAAGCTCTTCCAGATTGTCACTATAGACCAGCTGCAGGTGACTTGAACCGGGGACTGGAGGAACACAGGTGTGAGGGTCTCTCTCCCAAAGTTTCTTGACCTTGTCTTCTTTCTCCTCATTCCCTTAATTCCTTTCTCTCCCTAACAACCCCTTCCTCACTCCCCCTCAAACCCAGAAGGTAGGGAAACCCTCCTCCTTTCCCCCCTCCTCCTTTCCTGTTCCCCGTAGCCTTTGTGTCCCTCTTCTAAGGAAATGGCCCCTGCCATCGACTGGTTGTCCTGCCTGCAAGCAACATTCTCACAGATGTCCCTGAGCCCCTCCCAGACCATTGTGGTCCATGACCTGGATTATTTGAAAAACATGTCACAACTGGTGGAAAAACAACTGTTGAGCCACAGGTTGGTGCCGGGTGGGGTTGGGGAGGTACGGAGGTCTCAGGGGTACAGATGACTCTGGGGAGTGCGGGCTGGCGAGGGCCTCCCAGGAAGGTAGGAGGGACTCAGGGACACATAGAGCAGAGAAGGGGTGGGGTGGACAGCCCAAGAGGGAATGGGGAAAGGCTGGGAGGCTTGGGGGTGTGAGGAAGGGAAAACATGCATGGAATGAGGGATACAGGTATCTGGCAAGACACAGGATTTGCTGGGAGTATAACCCAGCTCGTGAAGAGCCTCTGAGCTATAGGAGATGCTGGAGGGCCAGTCACGGGGACAGCTTGGCCAGGTATGTCTTGTCAGCTGCTGATGCATGTGGGCGGCGGAGGAGGCAATGAGATGAGTAGACAGAGGAGGTGAAGGCCAGCGTGCTCCGGGGGGAGGACCTGAGGGAGAGGCCACTTCTCAGCTGTGTTGAGAGGGTACCGGAGACCTTGTGGGAAAGGACAGGAAGTCAAGGAAGGTGGGCACATGAGTGGGAGGCGCTGTGTGGGGCTCTCCGCCGTCCCTGACACCTGTGTGGCCACCACCGCAAGGGCTTCCATCCAGGGGCTTGGGCCCTTCTTCATTGTAACTCAGTGGTGGCAGCATCTAGAGATACTTCTCAGGGGAAGCAGACAAGTGTTCATGTGGCCGTGAGCAGGTTGACATAAGGGCACAAATCAAACCTGCTGATCGAATTGCCAGCAGGGCAGAGAAAGGTCCCCGAGCTCAGCTCTGCTGTGCTTGGGAGACACATCTCAACATGCGCTGAGGTTCCTTGGTTGTGGAAGTAGGTGAATCAGTCTTGCGAACTCTGAAGTCCAGCCTTCATCTAGCCCAGATCCTTCTCTCCCTGGGACTTGAGAAGTCTGACTCTTCACCTAGCTCTTTCTGTCATCGGTCTCCATCCCACACCGCTGAAAAAGCTCTCCTTCACTTTTTCAATCAAACAGCTATTCTCTTATACATACAGAGGAGAAGGGGCTTCTCGCCAGAGCCCGCAGGGACTTATGCAAGGGGAGGCTTTGCTTTAGGGATCCCAGGGTGCTGAGGTGCAACTGTGGGTCCCTTTTTCCTCCACAGCGACTTTCTGCAGAGCCACATGATCTTCGGGCTGGTGGGGACCCTTTCTCCAGCGCTAGACAGTAAATTCCAGGAGGCACGCAGATTGCTGAACCAGAAACTGCGGGAGCTGACAGGACAGCCGCCTGTGGTGAGGAGGGAGGGGAGGAGTTGTCCCAGGTTGGGGGCCGAAGGAGGTCGTGAGGGGTATGATTTGGCCTGTCGCTCTCAGGAAGGGGGCATGAGCGTAGATGCATCTCAGTGTCTCAGCTTTCCTTGGAAGCAGACGGGAGGGGCATGCAATGCTTACCTTGAGAGCAGAGGTGCCAGGCACCAGATCTTTTAGGCACACACCTGGCTATATCTATGGCCTTTTGCTGAGTATGGAAGTTTAAATATAGGACTCTAAAATTATCCAGAGCTACTTTTCCTTTGTCTTGATCCTTAAACTATTTACCTGGCTCTCCTGAGCTCTGTGATTTCTGGGCAGGATAAGAGACAGATGTAGCAAGCAGGGGCTTTTCCCTCTGTCTGGATGATTCCAGTGTTTGGTGCTCGAATTCTTCACTGAGAATCCATCTCTGACATTCGGAGGCATCTGTTGGGCTACACAATGGGGTTCATGGTGCAGATCTCAGTACACCTGAGGAGGGAGCTGTGTAGCAAATGCACTCCACCAACTAAAGTCTACTGTGGTAGATAAGACATGGAGACACTCCTCTACCCAGAGCATTGAAGTCCTGGGTCGGACACATCCAAATGCAAGTGGAGGAGGAGGAGAACGTTAGAGACACCCAACTGCAGTGAAGACCTTGGCCCTCAGTTTAGTCTTGAAAATCACTGTTTTTGTTTGTTTTTTCTTAATAATTTATGAACCATTTCTCTGCCTTGGAGAAGCTCACTGCTTTGGCAACCTGAAACATCTGTGGAGTTCAGAGAGGGGCGAGGTATGCACAGGGACTGACGTTTATTCATTACTTACTGAGAATGTATTATGTGCTAGACATTTTTCTTTAGATAGATGGACTGGTTCAATCTTCACAATTTTCCATGGTGAAGGGAGCCGGTGCCACTGGAACAGAGAGTGCAAATAGGATAGCAAGGAAGAGTTCAAAGAGGGAATGGGGGAGCATACAGGGCCTGGTAGGTCCCTGCAGGGATTTCGTCTTTTCTCTGCATGAAAAGGGGGACTGTAGGGTTTATCGCTTTTATGTTTTAAAACAATATACTTTTGAAAGTGAGCGACAGGGTTACCTGACAGATGTGTGCTGCGAGAGGGAGAATGGAGTCAGGGACACCACCAAGGTTTTGGCCTTAATTTGACCAGAATTTATGGTTTTATGCAATGGTTATTAAGTACTGATTTCTAACCATATTCTTCTGAATGCTTTCTACTTATAGGGGCCTCATTCAAAGAGACTGCTAGGTCTCATTACATGACCATATTTTGCTGATGAATTTTGAATATATAGCCAATAGAAATGGTTATTAAGGCAGGTCTTATTAAATTTGAAAAGCTGAGTTTGGGGAAATAAAGTAGGGCTTCACATTTGTACCTGTGAAATGTGAATTATTTATATTCATCCCAATGTCCCAAATATTTCAGGTAATTTTAATTTTTTTTCAATCATCCATTATATTACCTTTTCTTTTCCACCTTGGGTCATTTGCAGTTTTACAGTGTATCTTCATGTAGACTACTGATAAGATCCTGAAGAGGGAAGAGTGTTGGGTCAGGCTATTGAAGGCCTGGCCATAGAGTTATCCATTCATGTATGCAGCATGTATTTATTGAGCACCTACTAGACACTAGACACTTCTTTAGGCACTATAGACTGCAGTGAACAAAATAGGCAACAATCTCTACCCTCAGACACTTATATTCTAGTGGAAGAAGAAAGAAAACAAACTAACTAAATAAAGTATCTTCTGTGATCCTAATATTATGGGGAAATAAAACAGGAAAAGGAGAGAGGAAGTGTTAGGTGGGGGCATCTTACAGTTTTCTGTAGTCCTGCTCAGGGAAGTTAATGCAATCTTGGAGTATTCCATTTTTGATGTTTTGTTATGGTTCAGCCAGCTGAGAATCCACTCAAATTATACCATCATCCAACATAGATTTCTCCATCTATTTCATGGGGATTTAATTTGTGGTTTTATCAAATATCTTCTTGAAATCAAAATCGTGTCAGTGGGGCAATAGTGTAGAATTTACAGAGTATTTTCAATATATTGTTTTATCTTACCTTTTAAGCAGCTCTGTAAGGAAGTTGGCACAGGTATTTGTCTCACTTTTATAGCTGGTGTGTCTGAAATACTGAGGTTTAAGTTAAAAATCAACATTTGGTAAATGTTGCATTATCTGGGCGTAGGTAGTATTCAGGTGGTCCTTGAGGATGAGCCTGACCTATTGCTGTGTTTTGTTGGCCTTGAAAGCTTTTTATAAACTTTTAATTAATCATCAAGATTAAAAAACTAGGAGCTAGCACACCAATGATTGGATTTTCAGTCTTTTGTTGTTGTAAATGTGTTGTGACCTTTGGGTATTGCTGGGCCAGCCTCCTCTAGGGCAAAAACTTGCTGCAACTCAGTTTGGCCTGGCAAGCTCACTCCCGACTTCCTCGTCCCTCCACGTCCTGTGCTTCTGATGTTGGTCAGCTTCTCCCAGTTATGTCACCTCATGGCCCCTATTTGAGTTTGTGACTCCTGGTTGGTGGTATGTCCTAGTGTGGTGAACCCATTAACCAGAGAGATTGCTATTACTTTGACCTTATTTGTCCCCAGTGATCCTAGGTTGGCCCTCAGTCATTACACATAATTTTCCAAGTGTTACAAAATAGTTTAATGATTCCCAGAGTGGCACAGGGGCGAGTCTGATGTAGCATCTATGCTCCCCAGCAACCAGCTCAAGGCCTGCCGTGGCCCAGGCTATGGGGACAGGTGTGGAGCAGGTGAAGACAGCTGGAGAAAGGGGCAGGCACCAGCGGAAGGGGTGGGGGGGGACAACTCAAGAACCTGGAGGTGTAGAAAGGGCAGATGCTGTTTGCTGCCGCACCAGGTGTTGCCCCAAAGCCAAGCTTGTCAGGGAGGCCTGTGGGGGAAGGACCCTGCAGGTGGCCAGCAGAGCCTGTCCCTGACCTGGTTGTTGCTATCAGGCCCAGGTTTCCTTTCAGCTTGTGTTCTTTTATCACGTTTGTGTTTCAGAGTTGGAACTAATACACTAGAGAAAGTGTCTCCGTCCCTTCTCCTCACAAGGTCTTTAACAGGTCTCATGGTGAGGGGGCAGGAACACACAGTGCGGACAATCAGATCTGGAGCCACGTGCAAAATGATAGACATCCTAACAGGCAGGCGCGAGGCTTTATGGGGACGTTACCAGCCTTCTCCTTCTGCCCTCTTTTGTGGGGGCCCCATGAACTCTCTCTTCAGTCTTAGGAATGGAGAGCTTAGTGCTGGCCTAACCACCTCTCCTGAGAGGAGATCTAAGGGGAGTAAATAAGTTACAGGAATGAAGTCTTGTGACTTCATCCCACTTAACCCAAATTAGCATATTAGCTGGTTTTCCTAAGTCCCGGCTCAGCCTCCCCTAGGCCAGCTCTCTTATCCCCAGCCTGGCCCCTGGATGCCTTTCTCAACTGGCTCTCGTCATCTCTGCGCCCGCCTCTTGGCCAACTCTTCAAAGCCAGCCAAGCCCACCACCGAAACCTCTCCAGTATCCCTCTTTTTCTGATTCTTTCTGCCCTGCTATGAAAAAACACCCAGCTGCCCGAAGCCTCTTGGGTTTTTGTCCAACCGTCTCCCCGCTTTTGAGGTTGAAGATGTCTCGTTCCTTCGGGCCCTGGCCGCGGTTCCTTGGCTCTCTCAATTCACTTCTTTAGTCCCCTTCTCCTACCAAAGTGCAGGATGGCATCTGCACCCCAACTTCACTCTGATAATTTTCTTCTTTATAAGACATATGACCCATGATAATCATTTGGAGAGTGGGGGAGGGAGGTGGAAGGGAGGGAGGAAGGACTCTCTCTAATTTGCATTTTAAGCAAAGGAGCATGGGAAGGGGAGTCATGGCTGGGCCCCCGGTGGGGTGCCTGTGGCAGGTAGGGATGGGGTGGCCAAGAGACCTGAGGAGTTTGACACCTACTCCTCTCCTTCCCAGGAGCGTTTCCATTCTCCATAAGGAAGCCTCCCAGATGCCTTACTTTCAAAGTCAGTACACAATAAACAAGGATGATTTGCCCAACCTGGGCTCAGGAGACTAACCCTGCAAAACTAAGCCTCTTTCTTGCTGAGCAGCAGTGAACCCATGTGTGCCCCCCAAAGGGACAACCGAGTCAAGTGAGACAAACCCAGAGTGCCCAGAACAGAGAGCAATTGCTGGGGAGGGAGGGGGTGGGGGAGAACTAGGCAAGACAGACCTGGGGAAACAGACATGAAAGACCCTTGACGGAAACCACTCACTCCGGCTTTGTCTCCGTAGCCTGCCCGCCCTCGATGGATGCAGTGCGTGGAGGACACCGGAGCCTTCTTCGAGCCTGTCCTGACTGCCCTGTTTGTCCGTGAGGCCTTCAGCCCAAGCACCCAAAGTGCTGTATGTGAGGGCTCTTCCCCGCACCCTCCCCAACCAACCCATCATCTCCTAATTCTGTTGACTTTGCCCTTCTTGATGGTTCTGTATTGAAGAAGTCAGGCAGTCATGCAGAGAGAACCCAAAGAAGGACATGATATGTCCCCAGAGTCTGCACAGTTTAGGTCTGGGGCACACAGGGTACACAGCAAGCACTAGCTTGGACAGGCCACCCAGCTTTCCTGCCCTTGTGTTTGCTCAACCATAAAATGAGAAACTGAACTCTATGACCTGGGAGGCTACTCCCTGTTTATGATCTTTTAACAATGCATGAAATGACATGAGGATGGGAAGATATGATCTTAAGAAGTGAAAATAAATAACTGCTGAATACTTTTTGAATGCTTTCCATGTGCCTGGTACACTTGTAAGCACATTGCTTGCACTACTTTAATTCCTAGCATCACCCTAATTTTATAGAAGAGAGGACTGAAGCACAGAGAGTCTAAGTAACTGGCCCAGGCTACCAGACAGCGGAGTCAGAACTTGGACTCTGGCTCCTGATATTGTCACGACTTTCCTCCACCAAGAAAAGATATGTACACGATGCTAGATGGCTGGGGAAGCAGTAACTCTACAGTCAGGTTGTGAAGCCAGGGAGACTTCAGCTTGTTGGGACGCTGAAGCACCCAGTAAGACGGAGAGAGGAAAAGCATGTCTTAAGGAAGAGGGTGTGGGGACAAGGGTCCTGAGAGCAGAGATGGAACGGGGGTCCTCATCCTCCCTCCGCTTTCTGAGTGGATTACCTGGCCAAGAGTGAGGACCAGGTCACCCTCCCTCAGCGAGCTGAGATCTCCCCATGGAAATTGTCTCCCCTGTTGACTTTCAGGAGTGACTGGCTCCCACCTTCCCTTTCTGTCCCCACAGAACCCCGAGGTTCTGGCCACCTAGGAAAACCACTTTCTACTCTCTCTTTCTGAGATTGTCCCCCTTCTGTGGCAGCTCCTCAGGGCCACGGTCCCTTCCCAGAGGCTCAGTGGGCGGGACCCGAGGCCGAGGCTGACCCTCATCCTGTCCCTGCCCCCTCTCACCCACAGGCCATGGACTTGTTCACTGCCATCAAGGATGCCCTTGTCACACGCCTCCAAAGCCTTCCCTGGATGGATGAGGAGACCCGCAAAAAGGCCCAGGACAGGGTGAGCCAGGAAAAAGAGGCAGGGTGGGGATGTGTAGGAGGTGGAATTGAGTATTGGATGGAGAGATCCCAGCGGCTGGAGGAGAGCGCAAAAGGCGCAAGGGTACACGGCAAGTGTGAACACCAACGTGCGCCACGCATGCCCTAGCGACAACATAAAAGGCGGGGTCCGGGCAGTGAGCAGGAGAAATGCCCTCTGACAGACTTGGGGTAGCTAAGTTCTTTCTACCTCGCGTCTCTCCCCAGGTCACCCAGCTGAGGGTAGAGATGGGGGCCCCGGAATGGGCCATGAAGCCAGCACTCGCCAGACAGGAATACAGTGAGGTGGGTCCCTGCCCTCGACAGCTCTGCCTTTGTCCTCAACTTCCTCACCCACCCCCAGCCAACGTCCTGGAGTGGCAGACAATCCGTTTTCCCTGGGTGATCCGAACGAGCCCCTTCCTGGCCCCGTGCTGGCTGGGCTTTACAGGTGAATAGCCACACTGTAGGTCTTGCCAGCAGAAGAACGGAACCTTTTCAGGTCACGAAGTGTGAGTGCCTACACGTACACACATGCATTCTTATGACCTGCCTGAGCGCGTTCATCTGTGTGCTGACCGTGAGGCCTGTCTGGCCCACTTGTGGTGTGGAGGTGTGATGGTTTCCACTGTACTGGGGACGTCCACGTGCCAGGGTGTATCTGTCTGGGTTCACACGGAGCCAGCAGGCTGTCGGTGTGCATGCGCCCTTGTCACCCCTTGCCTCCTCCCAGGTGCACCTCGGACCCAACTTCCTGCAGTCCTTCCTGAGTGGCGTCCGGTCCCGCCGAGCTAGAATTACCCAGAGCTCCCTGGAGCCTTTCCCCCACCACAGGTATGAGAGCAGAGGAGACACAGACACTGCATTCCAGAGAAGCCCACCCATGATTAGCTAGAGAGTGAGCCAGGGCTCAGGGAGACGGGAACAGTGACAGTAGCGGGCGTGACTGCCTAAGTCTGGGGCTGAGCAATAAATAATGGAGCTGGTGTTCATATGTGCTCTTCCTACAGGTGGCAGGTGTCCCCCTGGGGGGTCAAGGCCTACTATTCGATATCTGACCACGTGGTGGTCTTCCCAGCTGGACTCCTCCAACCACCACTCTTTCACCCTGCCTACCCCAGGTACAGGCCATTCCATGAGGGTGGGGAGGAAGCTCCCTGAGAGAGATGGGCAGGTGTTATGATGGGTGGGACTTGCAGTTGGAGGGTTGGGGTTAAAGTTGTCGAAGGGTTCCTGGGGTAAGGCGTGTCCTGTCCCCTTAGGGCCGTGAACTTTGGTGCTGCCGGCAGTATCATGGCCCGTGAGCTGCTGCACATCTTCGACCAGCTCTGTGGGTAACAGTGGGCCACTGGGAGGCGTGGCCTTTGGGAACCCAGGGCTGGGGGAGGAGAAAGGGAGGGCGTGCGAGGGCTCCAGGTGGGGCAATCCTGAGCCTTTGAAGGCTCCCGGAGCCTGCCTGGTCTGCGGTGCCCCCAGGTCCTCACCCCTGCGCCACGCCTCGCCTTTTCATTCCTGGCCCCATTTCCAACAGTACTCCCCGGGGGCTGCCCGGCCTGTGACACGCAGGCCCTCCAGGGGGAGCTGCTGTGCCTGGAGAGCCACTACGCGGCCTCTCCCTTGCATGGCGGGACTTCCTTCAACGGCTCCCAGGCGCTCCTGGAGGATGCAGCCGATGTGGGGGCGCTGGCCCTCGCCCTGCAGGTGACTCAGATCCCAAGGGGCAGGGTCTCCTTTTTCCATCAGAGCAGACACCCTGCCCCTGGCTTTTCCTTCTACTCACGCATACCTGGTTGCCAAGCTTTCTGCCCTTCACATCCCCACTGAACCTGGGGACCCCCCTTATCTAACAGAGCCCTCTTTTCTAGGGTATCTGTAGATTTCCTGACAAGTACATTTTCTCCTGACTCAGACCAGTGTGTCAATGCAAAATGTGGGGAAGGGAGCCATGAACGGGTTCTGGGTATTGCGTACAGGGCATCGGACTTCTCAAGGGCCACAGGTCTGGAGCCTAAGGCTCACTCCCTTTCCCACCCCCAAATCCAGGCATACAACAAGAGGCTAGTATGGCGCCATGGGGAGACCACCCTGCCCAACCTGGACCTCACGCCTCAGCAGCTCTTCTTCCGAAGCTATGCCCAGGTAGGCAGCCGCCTTCTCCCAACACAGCCTGCTCTGTGTCCAATGAATACCCGCTTGGTAAGGCTTAAAGCGTCCCTTCCTCCTAAGGCACCTTCCCCCACATGCCTCATTGTCATCCTTTTACACGTGGCCCCTTGGGCCCATCCTTTCATATTGTTACAAATTCTTCTACCAACTTTAGCATCCCCTTCAAACAACAACAACAAACACTCTACTTCCAAATCCCTTCCTGAGATGAGCTCAACTTTTTCCCCCCTCACATTTCTTCTCTGGAAATACAAACCCCTTAGAAATGAGCCATAACAGACTGTCTGTAGACTGCATTTCTCCTCAAAGACCTCCCCCCCCAGGTGTGGTCCGCACCTAGTGTGACCCCCTAAGTACCATGTGCTCTCTCAACAGATGCTGCCCCCAGGCCCTCAGTATGCTTAAATACCCTCCCACAGAATCCTTCCAATAGACCCACCCCTCAGTCACTGAGAAATGGTCTGATGCCACAGCCCAGGTCCTGCCCTGAACGCCTAGTGCCAGGCTAAGTCACCTACAGCTGGCAAATACTCTTCTCTCCATGTGGCCCTTGGTCATTCCCATCCCTGCTCCTGTCTTTGTCTGCTCTCCCTAGCCACCACCTCGTCGCCAGGTCTTGCGTACTGACCCTTATCTTCCCCGTTATTCTCCTTCCCCACTGTGGACCTTTCTTCCTTCCCAGGTGATGTGTAGGGAGCTCAGCACACAGGATTCCCAGGACACTCACAGTCCACCCACCCTTCGGGTCCACGGGCCCCTCAGCCACACCCCAGCCTTCGCCAGACATTTCCACTGTCCACACGGTGCCCCCCTGAAGCCCTCCCGCCGCTGCCAACTCTGGTAACCGGGCTCCCAAAGAGACCTCAGTACAGATGTATCAATGCCTCCCTGCCCCGTTCATGGAATCAGGGCGATGTCTCCTCTCCCCCTCTCCAAAAATAAAATCCGGCAGTTGGTTTCTGCCTGTCTCTTAATGACTCTTGCCTGCTATGCTCTGTGCTCAAAAGTCAGAAAAGGTAAGAGGAGAAACTTCCAAGCAGAATTCCACAGGCACGAGAAAAGGAAAGAACCCATGATGGGTGAACTGGTAGGTCTAAAGGTCAGTGGGCCAGAAGTTGGGTGATTGCACAGACTAATTAGAGACAGGAAGGCTTTGATTAAGTTTCGGAAATCTGCTCCCAATTGTTTTTCAGGGTTTTATTGCTATCACTTTTATTGTAGTTGCTTCCTCCCCTACTCTGCTGTGCTGCACAAAGCCAGGAGAGGCATGGGAGAGAGGAGGGCGCGGGTCTGGTGTCTTCGGCCCTGAAAGATGGAGCTCAAAGCAGGGGAGCTCAGGGAAGGAAGCTGTGTGCACATCTCTCTGGGGAGTAGTGGCCCAGAGCCCAGGGAACAGAAGGTCAGTAAGCTATCATGAAACTGAGGTAGCTATCCAGGTCCTCGTCCAGGGCCCAGAAAACCATCCCATCCTCAATGTCCCTCATAAAAAAACCATGATGCTGGCCAGATTAAAGCACAAGGCCAGGTCGAATAGGTGTTCACGAACAGCAGCATCCTCGGCTGTCTTGTCGTCCTCTTGCTGGGCCATATCCACCTTCTGCCACCTCTCACCCACTGAGGAGGCCACAAAGTACTCTTTGAACTGCTCTTGGTTCAGATCTGGGACGGGAGCAAGGGGAAGAGGCTGAAACACTGATCCCAGCCTGCCCCGACCCCTGTCCCCGTCCTGCACCACAAAGGGGAAGAAGTTAGAAGACAGGAATAGTTAGGGCCTGGGGCTTTTAACTCGGTTGCCCATATCCTCGTCCTTGCCCGAAGAGGCGATGCTGCATCTGGAGGTCCCTTCTGGTCTGTGTGCAACCTCAGCTCCAACTCAAGAGCACGCACATCCCATTTCCAACTCACACTGCCTCCTCCAAGGTGGTACATCATTTGGGAGTGAGGGACCATCTTAGAGAAAGATGAAAACCAGAGACCCTGTTCCCAGACAAAAGCATCTGTGCTCATATGCATGACAGTCCCCTGCAATTTCCACCGGCCTGTGGTGTACCCCTGAATGGGGCCTTGTTCGAGGGCCTGTCCCATGACACCCTCACACCACATTCACAGGGGTCCGGGGTGTTCTCCCACAACCCGAACCTCTCTCAGATTTCACTCTGGCCTGATAAGTAATCTGAGACGGACTGCAAACAGCTCCGGTCCCTGGCCTCCAAAGGGAGTGCCCCTTTTCTGCGTACCTGCAGAAGGTATTTGCTCGGTCTGCCTCCTCTCGCTGGGGCCTGGAATCCCTCCTTGAGGCTTCGCCCCCCTCACCTGCAGCAGCAGCAGGAGGGCTGCCAGAAAGGCTGCCCTGAGGAGCTGGGCGCCCGGGGAAGTCATGGGCCTGCCCATCCACCGCCTGCGGCCTTCCCGCCCCCCAGTGCCCAGCAGGTTCCCGCCACCTCCCTCCCCTGTCCCTGTCCCCGCCCTTACCCCTTCCCAGCACTGTTTTCTTCCCTTCCCTTCCATAGGACTTTGACCTCATAAGCTCTGTGACATCACAACTGGGAGCTGATTCATTCCAGCTCCCTAGAGAGTTCCATTGCTGGGCGAGAGAGTGGAGAGTAGCCAGCAGGGGACAACAGAGCCTTCGAGGATGATCACAGTGGGTCACTGTGGAGAGAGCAACACCAATGACTTCAGAGTTCATGAACTGCTTTCACGTCCATTACATCCTCCTAGCAGCCAGCTCGCAGAGGAATAGTGTCATCACACCCATTAGACAGACGAGGCTGCTGAGGTTCACAAAACAAATGACTCAGCCATTCATGATTGCACAGACAGCAAGGAGCAGCACGGGACTGTTGATGAGCTCTGTGGATTCCAAACGCCACAGCTTCCCACTCTCCCATGCAGCCTTTCTTGAAGGAAAGTGGCTCGCTTAGGAGGAAGCCCAGACAACACAGAGAAATGAGGACTGTCCAGTCCTGGGCTGTGCATGGAACTCAGGCCCATGGAACAAGGGGGGGGGCGGGGCTGAGGAGGAGGGTGGGAGAAGGGCCCACCCACTGTGTAATCAGGAGAGAGACAGAGACAGAGAGCAGGGTGCCCTGGACCCAAGTAGAACCCATGCTCTCCTTCCTCCTCCACCCTAGCCTTTGTCCTCTTGTGCTGATACACTGGAACAGCCTCTTCTCTCATTTTACATCGTCTTGTACTCTCAGACTCAGAGAAAACATTGGCAGAGGCTCATTCACTAAACTTCTTGCCTGGTAGAAGGAGGCAGAGTCTTCTGAGAAGATGCACTGTGGCAGAGAGGCAAGGAGCCGCCTGTAACAGATCTCGAGAAACCGGCCCCAGTGGCCCGCTGCCCACCCTGCCCGTGAAACCAGTGAGTGCACAGCTGCTGGCAGTCGCTGGCTGTGGCTCATTGCCCTCCGCGTCTTGGGACAGAGATGATGGTTAAGGATGGGGCGGGGTAGGCCTGGGGAGGCAGGATGGAGGCCTGCCCTGAAAACCAGGAGCAGATCCAGGCCGTGAGACACAGGAGGGGCACAGGGACGAGGTAGGGTGCGAGGAGATTTTAGACACACTCGATCGGTCCCAACGAGCTCGCAGCATTCCAGCCCGAGGGAACCGCCAAACGGAGGGGCAGGGACGCGCGCAGAAACAAGTACCCTTTCTGGGAGAGGGGATGGCACGTGGCAATTTCTTCCCACAGATGGTAACCCGTGTTGCCTAGTTCATATTCTTCCTGGTGATTCAAGCCAGGTGACAGGGTGATGGGTGGGGAGGGGTGGTACAGGAGGTCACTCACGGGGGGCAGGGAGGAAAGATTCAAGGAAGCAGGTGACCCTGCTCACCCCTACTTTGAACTCATTGACCTGCAGGCCCAGGGAATGATGCTTGGGTGGAAAAAAAAATCCTTAATGTCCTCCTGGCTATTTGGGGGGAGGAGCCCCTTGGTTCCTGGCTGAAAGAGAAGCCATCTCTAGCTCGGTGAGCCTAAATGGGGCTGCGGCTGGGGGCGGGGAGCCTCCCGTGGGGGCGGGAGGGAGTGGAAAGAACCGGTCCTACGGACCACCGGCCCTTCTATTTCCCACCACCCGCCTGCCCAATGCCCCGTGCTGCAAAGGACGTATCCTGAAGGAACCAAGAACCCTTTTAATTTTTTGTATTACAGAAGTGCCTAAGAAGAATGAAAAACAAAAAGACTAATAGTTCCACCATCCAGCAAACATCACTATCAATGTTTTCAAGTACAGCATTCAAATCCTCCCCTTACGTGGTTGTGGGCACGTGGGTGGGAGCGTATTTCCTATAAATTAACACCCAGGTATCATGCGTGTTCCTCCTCCTTATTGCACCAGAATAAGAGGCTGGCTGCTTTGCTACCGAGGGACTCTGGGGCCTCATATTGCTCCTGACTAGCTGGCGCCTGGGAGACATTACTGAGTCACACTGGACTTTGAGGCATTATCGTGGGGCCAGGAAGCTGCTACTGAGGCATAGAGGCTGGGGGGCGGGGTCCTTTTCCACAGAAGGCTGAGCATGTGTGCAGGAGAATGTGAGAAGACGAGGGACAGGTAGGGTAGTGGCGCAGAATACGACAGAGGTGAAGGAGTGGCAGGGGAGAGCCAGACGGGAGGAGAGAGAGCTCCTTAAAGATTAGGACACAGTTTCTAAATCTCCCATCTACCCCTGGGACAGGCGGGACAACCGGGTCCCCTTTGAGCTGCTTGTACCTGCCCCTCCCGCTGGAGAGCACGTGCAAGCACAGAAGGACACACGTGAGGGTGAAGACCCCACACCCCTTTGGGACCCAAGGACGCTGTCCACCTGCTCTGTGCGGCTCTGACCGGGCTGCCCCGCTCCACCCCCTCCAAGATTAGCTTTATGGGCAGGGTGCTCCTTAGCTGTGCCTGCCCCTGCTTATCAGCTCATCTGTAACCCCCACCTCAACCTTATCGCTCCCTCCATCTCCTTAGGCTGGAAATCCCAAGGCTTCAGAGCCTATTACCGCCTCACACTGCTTAACCCCCAGCAAAGCAGAAAAATGTCCCACAAGGTGACTCCCTCCCCTTCCCCCAGCCCGCATCTCCCCCTCCCTGGGGTGAGAGCGTGCTTTCTCCTTGTGTCGGGCATTGGGCATCTACCCTTCCTTGCCTTATTTATTTCCCTTTCAGCTCTTGTCCTTCTCTAAAGGTTATTTTGTCCATCCTTCAGCTGCTAGAAAAAAAAGGCTCTCCTTACAGCAACAGAGGGGGGCATTCCCCTGTTCCTGGGACCCCCACAGAGGAGGGTCCCCCACCCTCCTATCTCCACCCAAGTCCCTCGCATCTGTATAGGCAGAAGCTTCCCAAGAAACAGCAAGGCCTGGCGTGTGATCCCGAGCTAAGTTTCCACTTGAAAGCCAGCTCTGGTGCTGCTGCTGGCTGTGGGTAATCACAGTCCCTGTCTGGGCTTGGTCTTCTCCTTTGTGAAAGAAAGAATGCCCCCTAGTCCCAGCTACCTACTAGGGCTACTGAATGGCCACAGTTCAGTCATAGGTATAAAACGCTTTGAAAACAATCGAGAGGAGACAAAGGACTGTGGTATCATAACAGAACGCTCTCGAGGTTTTACCCATCCCTCCTGCTGCCTCATTCCTGGGAGGGACAGAAATGTGGGGCTGCTTCTTCCACCTGCCCTCACTTCGAGCTGTCCAGCCTCTGTGAAACTGCGGGGTCCCCTGCAGGTCTTCCCTGAAGAGGCTCCAGGAAGCTGGAAGGGAAGAGGAGTCACCGTGGGCTTCTCCCGGAGGAGGGGTGGCCCAGACTCCTTCTGTGAGGCAGGTCTGCAGGGCTGAGGATGAGCATGACCACAGCTCACAGAAGCCGCCTCGGGTGCTCATCTGTGGAAGGAGAACCAACATCCTTGAGCTCTTGGGATCATGCTTCACAGTCGCTTCCATGAGAGAACAGATGAGCAAACTGAGGCACAGGAAGCTCACCTAACTGATGTGCTAAAGCTGAGAGAGCCAGGATTCAAGCCGGGCTGGTGGCCAAGCTGGAGGACTTGGCTTCCTACTCACCGGCATCCCTGCCCGCCTAGTTCGCGGGACCCAGCTTCCAAGGTCTCTCACCTGGCTCCCTGTCCAGATCGCTCCGCCCCACCCCTTACCTGTCCAGTTCTCAGCCCCAGCCCACTCCCAGGAACAAAGTTCCCTCCCCTCTTTCCTCCTGGCTCTAGGGCAGCCTCCGTGTTGCAGAGGTTTGCTCTGGAAAGAGCTCCTCCCCCCTCCAGGTAAAGCTGCTCTCTCCAGGCAGGGCAGCCAGTTGCCGTGCACGTGCATGCAATCACACACACCCCCACAGCCGCACGCTGCACACACAGCTCACCCAGGGATACACTCAGTTTCACTCTTAACCCCAAGCAAACACTGCCACTGCCTCAGTACCTGCTGAGTTCTGGACCGGTGCTTTACCACGCCCATCACCTGCCAGAGCCTGAGAGGAAGAGGACATGGGGGTTCCTCCACCCAAGGTGAGAGGGTCCTGGGCCCACCTCCAGGAACTGCTCACCTCTTGGCTGTTCTGGGAGAGAGACGGGGATCAGCGACTGGACGAGGCCCACCTGCTGCAACAGAAGAGGTAGGCTATCTGGGCATGCGGCACCCTACCTCTCGCTGATCCACACGCCTCCCCGCCCACTCGGGCCCATCCCCAGAAGTCGGTGCCAGGCGCTTGGATGTGCCCTTTCCCCCCGGTCCACCCGTTACCGTCACGAAACCCCCGTCGCCCCTCTTGGTGGGGGTGGTGAGGGGTGGCGTGCAGACCTTGAATGTGGATTCTGTGGATTTGTAGGCAAGGATCCCACCCGCCTGCCTGCCAGGTGGGACGGGAGGATGGGGGACCAGATAGAGGAAGCCACTGTCTGTGGGGGGAAGGGGGTGCAGGCAGGGGCAGGCTGGTGGGGAGCAGCTTGCGGGGGAACAGGTGAGACCCTTGGGTTTTAGAGGCCATGCTGGTTGAGGAAAGAAGGAGGAATTAGCATTCGTTTCAAAGGAAACTGATTGGTGGGGAAAAGGAGAGCTTTGTTTGCCTGGAACAGACCAGCTGAGGAGGGAAACCCAGGTGACACTGGAAAGTCCCCGGTTCAGTTCCTTGGCCCTTTTATTGAGCCCACTGCCTGCCGCTGTGCGGTGCTGTGTGCGGGGACTGGGGACTCAGCCAGCGGTAGCGCCCGTGTCTGCTCCTGGGATGCTCCGTTCAGGTGGAGCTGATTCACCTGGGGGCAGGTCATTTCCAGGCTCCTTAGCCCTGGGGTCCAGGCCCTGGGCGCAGGCAGGACAGGGACCCATCCTGTGGGGTGGCCTCTGCCCCGTGGCGTTTGGGGGCCTCATCTCCCATCGAAGAGCCAGGGAGTGAGCTGAGCAGGGCAGGGCCTCTGGGCCTCGGAACAGCCCTGCGTGCCATTTAACGCGCTTCTGCCTTTACCTTGAAATTCTCAGTGCTGTTTTAAACGAGGGGTTCCGGCACTTTCATTCTGCACTGGCCCTTGTGAATGGAGTACGGCCTGAGCCCTCGTCCCGGAAAGGCCCCCGGCTTGCTCACCGACACCCACCCCAGGCCCTGTGATGGAGCCTTGGGCCTCCCCCGCCCCTCCTCTCGCCCTCCCTGCTGTGCAGGGCACTAGGATGGTCCCTGACACAGTGCTGGGGTCTAGCCTCCCCGCTGCAGGGGGCATCGGGCAGGAGGCCCAGCGACCGGGCTGTGCGCAGTGCCCTCCACACAGGGCTGAGCTCTGGAAGCCCTGCCCTGGTCCCCCTGAGCTGGGTGCACTAGGCCTGAGGGTCCCAGTGAGACAGGGCAGGGGCCGTCCCTCACTCTGCTGGTTCCTCCTGAGAGCGCTTCCCTAAATGGGGGCAGACATGGGCTCCGCCTGGAGGTTTTAAAAGACTGATTTAAATAAAACACTTTTCCCGTGTTGGCTACAGAAGAGGAATTTGGGGCTGGGGGACACCATGGTCACCCATCAGTTTGTCTCCCCCTCGTGACCCGCAACCTGCCGGACCCCGTGGTCACCTAAGACTTCCTTGCGCAGCAGAGTTGGCTCAGCTTCTCTTGTGTCTGGCTCACCCAGGCATGGGGAGGACAGACGAACCGGGGAGGTGTCCCCGCTCACCCCGAGCTGTGGTATCCGAGGAGCTCCAGACTGGGCTACCTCTCAGTGACAGCCTGGGCGTTCAGTCCCTTCCACGTGAGGGCGAAACCCAGAAGGAAGAGACCCTCTATAGCCCACCCCAAGCTCTCCCTGCCCCCGAGGAGGGATGCGTATCTAAACAGCCCAGAGGGGTAATCAGCACTTGAGCAACGGACAGACACCCACAGCCGCAACACCTGACCCATCTCCCCACCCCTGCCCAGTCCCGATCTCTCAAGCTCCCCTTGGTGAGACAGAGCCAGTTCAGCAGGTCAGGGTGTCAACCGGGGGCAGAAATTCCACCTTCCTGACCGGCCCCAGCCACCCAGGTTCCTACAACGTTTACATGGCTTAGACCAATTTAGCCAAACTTGATGGCTTCCTCTTTAGACCACCAGGGCTGCCCGCCCAGTCGGTAGGTAGCCCAGGCCCGCCTCCTCCCGGCGCGGCAGCCCGCTGAGAGCCTCCCACTCCGTGAGCCCCACAGCCCCGGCACGGGAAGGCCGCGTGCGGCGTGAGGCCTCCGCCCTTGGCCTTCCCCCCGCGCCTGTAGCTCTGCCCTGGCCTGAGCTGTGTTCCTCTTCTCCCAGGATTCGAGAATCGCCGCTGCTTCAGGCAGCCAAAGACAATGACCTGTGTGCCCTGAAGAGACTTCTGCTGGACAGAACCTGCGACTTGCGACAAAGAGGTGGGCTCAGGGTTCCATGGGATGGAGACAGGCCCCAAGGTGCATGACTCCCAGGGTTTCTGCAGAGGGGCCCAGGAGAGGGCTTGACATCCCTGTCCTGCTGTGTTCCAGGAGCCATGGGGGAGACAGCGCTGCATGTGGCGGCCCTCTATGACAATCTGGAGGCGGCCATGGTGCTGATGGAGGCTGCCCCGGACCTGGCCTTAGAGCCCATCCTGTGCGAGCCCTTTGTAGGTGAGCAGCCACACCAGTTCAGTGGGGACGGGGAGAGGAGGGTCTGCACGTAAGGGCCCCTGGGTTGGGGAGAATACAAAGGTTCTGGTCTTGGCTTTCACAGCTTCCTTGAGTCATTTGTTATTTCCCTTCAACCCCTTTCATGTGCCTGGATGGACAGGGCTCTGTGTCTTTTACAGCAGCACTGGAGTGATTACGGTTATGCCCCCCACCCCTCCAGCCACGGTGTGGACAGCCGGAGGGACTTACTGCCCCTGGTGCCAGGCCACTCTGCTCAGCCAAGGGCAGAAATCTATTCAGGGATATCCTGCAAGTCAGGTTGGTGGTGCACCTCTGAAGGAATTGGGCACAGACCCCATGACTGAGGGCTCCCTCTGAACCAGGTCAGACTGCACTGCACGTGGCCATCCTGAACCAGAACGTGAACTTGGTGAGGGCCCTGCTCGCCCACGGGGCCAGCGTCTCCGCCAGAGCTACAGGTGCAGCTTTCCGCCACAGCCCGCACAACCACATCTACTTCGGTGAGAGCCAGGGCCAGGGCTGGGGGCAGGGAGGCGAGTGGTAGGCAAGAGCCAGGGAAGGGTGGGCTGAGGAGGGCCCCGTGCCTGGGGAGGCTGGGCGTGGGGGGCCGTGGGGAGGGGGGCCCTTAGAGGGCTTAGGGCCAGAGCCAGGTCCCCCAGGGCCCCCGCACCATCCCTGCCTCGGGTTCTGCCGACAAGCGTCCCCAAGCCCAGCCCTGAGATGTGGGGAGAATTCACCCCCGAGCCTGCACTCACGCCCCGGAGGCCTGTGTGTCCCCAGGGGAGCACCCTCTGTCCTTCGCCGCCTGCATGGGCAGCGAGGAGATCGTGCGTCTGCTCATCGAACATGGAGCGAACATCCGGGCCCAGGACTCCCTGGGTAAGCACGGGGAGCAGGGAGCGAAGGGGAGCGGAGGGGCTGGGACAACCGTCACGCCCACCCCGGGGCGGGCGCGGGGACCATCAGGGACGTGGGTCCAGTGGCCACGTGACACCCGTGTCCTCCCCCAGGAAACACAGTGTTGCACATCCTCGTCTTCCAGCCCAACAAGACCTTTGCCTGCCAGATGTACAACCTGCTGCTGTCCTACGATGGGCGCGGAGGCCACCTGCAGTCCCTGGACCTCGTGCCCAATCACCAGGGCCTCACCCCCTTCAAGCTGGCGGGAGTGGAGGGCAACACTGTGGTGAGGAGCACGCCCCCAAACCCAGATGTTATTCTCATGGTTTTTTACCCAAACTCCCCAAAAGGGTGGTGGTCCTTTACCTCCAGCTCTGTCTCTAAAAGCCTCAGCCTTGGGAATCCCTGGCTCAGTAGGACCTGAGACGTGTCTTTCAGAAGATCTGCAGGGAACACCAAGTTCCGCTCTCTTTGCCCGTTCTCTTCTTTCAGACCTTTATATGGTTTAAGGGAAAGAGAGATAACCCCAAAACAACACATAGGTTCATGTAATCAAAGGTTTGCCAACTGCTGACTGTCCGTCAGTCCCAAGGCGTGGGCACTTGGCTCTTCAACGACTTTTGTCCCTGGACCGGCTTCTCGCACACTGACCCTCCGGCTTCCTGCTGTGTTCTCACAGATGTTCCAACACCTCATGCAGAAGCGGAAGCACATCCAGTGGACCTGCGGGCCACTGACTTCCACTCTCTATGACCTCACAGAGATCGACTGCTGGGGAGAGAAGGTGTCCTTTCTGGAGCTCGTGGTCTCTTCCAAGAAGCGGGAGGTATGGGTGCCATGGTGGATCTGGGACTGCCATGTGTTCGTGCAGAGCCCATCCATTGGCTAAGATCCTGGGCTCCAGACATTCCCTCACCTGACAACAGGTGGCTATGAGACTCCTGGGGCCTTTGGAAAAAAAGTCCAATCAACCAATCAATACCTTTTCCTGACTGCACTCTCCCTCTGCTTAGCTCTAGTCTCTTTCCCTTACCTTTCTCGCTTTGACATTTCAGATGAGAAACTCTCCAAACAGAGGCTGCTTCCTATCATTCATTCATTCATTCATGCATTCATAATACTGAGCACCTTCTGTGCCCCACTTGCTGTACAAGGAACTGAGAATACAGAAATAAACAAAACACAGTTCCTGTTGGTCAGCTTCCCTGAGGGTTGCCGTGGAGTACAACATATACCATCCCGAGGCTCTGTGCTGTGCATGCTGGCAGCAAAATGGAGGCCGGATGGGCCAGAGACGATGTCCCAGGAGTACTTGAGCTGGGGCTTCGAGGAGGAGTTGGCACCCACCAGGAATATGAGAAAAAATCTCTCCAGAGAGAGAAGAGCAGTAACCATCCAGACAGGACTGAGTTGAGTGACACGAGGGAAGGGAAAATGTGCTGAAGAGAAGTAGAAGAGAGAAAATGTCTCGAGCTTCCAGGAAGCTCCAAGATAGTGGCAAAATAGAGCTGTGTTGTTTATATGCTTGTTGACAACTCTCTAGGAACCCGTCTAGGGCCATAAACTCAGGTGACGGTAAGTAGTAATGAACGGAAGGAAAGATGAGTGGCTAACAAACTATGCGCTTCCTTAGAAAACATACCTGGAAACAGATGAACTTTGAACAGGATTCCTTAGGAATGAGAGCCCCAGTGCCTGTGCTAGATTGTTTTCCCACAAATCCTTGGTCTCTGGTTTCAGCTGGCTCTCAATGTTCTCCTATAGGTTTTGTTCTTATCTTGATCAGCTAGTTTTCTCTCCCTTCGAAATTCCTTTCTAGCTCCTTTTATACCCCTCACTGCTTTTTCCCTTCATTCCATCAGAAGACCCAGACTCCTACGTCATAGCTGGAGCCTCTTTAGTGTCCTGCCAACCATACCTGGAAACTGGGCACTGTCTCTCTTCTCTAGGTTCAATGGAAAAGACACTCTTCCTGCCAGTGGTTAATCTCTCCAACTGTTGCTTTGAATTTCCTTTTTCTACTTTCTCAGGTGTCCATCACCCTCTCTCATTCGTACCTTTGACCTTTCACTGTCTAGTTACATCAGAGCACCAACACACCTGGCTTAGATCATTGCCCCCTCCCACTACCTGAGTCCTCTATTGCTCTTCTCCAGACCACGAGACTTCTAGAGCGAATCTGGCTACTTTCTTACTGGAACCCTGAATTACTTCCCACTATGTTCAGAAAAAAAAAATCAAACTCCCCACCTTAGCATTCATGATGTAGGATGATCTGGCCATTGTCTAATTCATTCACTGTAACTCCTGTCCATCACTCCAAACAGGGTGTATCTTATCCCCAACCACATCGCACCTGCAAATGGTTTCTCATGCCTTCCTGCCTTGGCAACTGCTACTTTCTTCATGGAATGATCTTCCCAACTCTGCTTTCACTCAACTATCTGCTGCTCATCTTTCAAAGCCTCCATGATGCTATGATGCTATAGGGTCTTTTGTTCACTTCTGTAATACTTTACCTGTAGCAATAGCACCAGGCCTGGCGTATAGTAGAAACTAGCCAGTTGTCTGGAAAAAAAAGATGACTGACTCACTGAATGAATAATGCTATTGCTGGTGACCGCCCTGCCCGTCTGGGAGCCAGTGGGAAACCCAGCACAACGTACTATGTTGGCTTCCTCAAGCAACATTCTCCTTCCATGGCAGGCTCGCCAGATCCTAGAACAGACCCCCGTGAAGCAGCTGGTGAGCCTCAAGTGGAAGAGATATGGGCGGCCCTACTTCTGTATTCTGGGTGTCTTGTACGTGCTCTATATGGTCTGCTTCACCACGTGCTGCGTCTACCGTCCCCTCAAGTTCCGCCATGGCAATCGCACTATGTCCGACCGGGATATCACCATCCTGGAGCAGAAGCCACTACAGGTGACTCTTCGCAGAGGTGATGAAAGGGAATGGAAACGGGGGGTCATGGTGCTGGAGACCAAAGTGGCACTACCCAGGGAAGACACCCCTCCCTGGGCTGAAACAGCTGCCAGCTCCTAACCACCCAAAGAAACTGGACATGAGATCTGGGCACCAGAGAAGAGGTTTATGGGTAAAAGCACACTTGTCCCGGGAGCTGTGGCTTCTCTCGTTAACTTTGAAAGGGTGTTCGGTGTAGGAACAGTGTACATTGATGAAATTCCTTTCAATGTATAGAGAGAACCAGTTTTTTGTAATGTGAGCTTGAATAGGGAAACCTTATTGTTTTAAAGGGAGGGAAATCATGCTGCAAGTCCACATCTGAGTCCGTTTCTGGTCTCTGAGAGCAGCAAAGCCCATCTGGCTTGCGTTCTCTTCTGTGTATTATTGATACGTGTACGTCGGCAAGCCTGTGTCAGCTGTCCGGCACACGGCAGGAGGGTGCCTGGGTTGCATGGCAGGCCGAGGCAAATGATCTCTGAGGTCCTTTTAACTCTGGTGGGCTTGCTTCCTGGGGTGTCCTTCAGAGACGTGGGTGGTGAGGGTGCTAGCAGAGGTGTGGAGGAAATGTAAGAACTGCTGAAGAAGGAAGCAGACCCTCTTTTGCATGTAACAGAATGAGTAGATTCTGAGGAGGACTTCTGAGTATAGACCTTTGACAAGCATAGCTACATAGGGCTGGTTGATTATCCACGGTACGATTTTTCTTTTGTCCTGAAAAGAGCTGAAAGGGGGTGCAGGCACATGGACAGAAAGGGAAAGGCACAGGAAGATGGATTTAGCCGGGCAAGTAGGAGCTAAGTGATTAGAGATTTATGCTCTGTGCAGGATGGGCCAGCCATGGGCGCAGCTCAGCCTGGAGTGGGGTCAGATAGAGAACACAAACCGCCTGCTGCTCAGGGAACGAAGGTGGACCAAAGTCAGAAGGAGCAGGGCCAAGTGGGTCACTCAACCCGAAGCAGGCCAAGACACTCCCTCTCTCCTGCTTCTACAACAGCCTCTCAATCCATTGACAGGTGATCGTGTGTCCAGAGCTACGGTCTCCCACAGAAAAGGATTTGCTGACTTGTTAGAGGCGGGCAGGGTGCTCAGTGGAGGTTGTGTTCCATGCACCTCAAACTGGGCATGAGTGTTGTCCCTGGTGTGGCGACCACACAGGGGATACAAGGACATTTAGAAGATGGCCACGTGGGATGGGCGAGCGACTAGAAATAGGAAAAGGGACAAAACCAGCACGAATTGAGGATGGCGGGACTTTCCAACGTCCCTGGCCTGATTTTCGCAGATGCGCTCTTTCCCAACGTCCCTTGTGTCAAGCTTACTTGGGGTTTTCTGGATCTGGAATGTAGATAACGTTCGGCCCAAGAGTTGGGTGATGCTGAGCAATTATTTATCTCTGAGTCTCCTCCCTGTGTGACTCCTTCTCTTTGGGGCAGGACTAATTATGCACAAACACGTTCCTTTGACCCAGATAGTCTGAGTTGGATATTAAAACCCCTCCCCTTCCCTCAGGACTAGGCGAAGCATAATGATAGCTGACTGCACCGACCCATCCTTTTTATTTTTTCCCCTCCCCTATTCCTCCCTTTTCCTCTTTAGCACTTTTATCCTTTGTTTCCTACTTAAGGAAAAGCCACTTTGGCCCACAAAGAAGATTTTTGACTTTCCAATAGTCTTGTCTTGGTGGGAAAGGGGGACTGAGAAGGTTACAGACGCTGCCATGATAGCAAAGCACACCAGTGAGAGGTTCCTAGTCTCTGGCATTGCCCCTTCAGACTTGGTCCGGAGTTTGTGGGCTATTTGTGTTCCTCTTACTGAGTAGTCACTCCGTTTGGATTAGGTCGGGGGCTCCCACGCTTGCCACCACGATCTGAACGATTCCACTGTCATGATGCACCAGATTAGTTAACTAATAGGAAGTTCTCTCTCTTCCCCCCCCCCCCCCGCTTTTTTATTACTTGAAAATGCTCCCCCAAAAATGTATTGACTTGATTAATGCAACTGTTGACAGATTAGTTAGCCCACGGAGCATTTTCTTAGATAAATGAATACTTTAACACTCAATTAAATGACTCAATCTGGATGCATGGGGCTCTCAGTCACTGGAGGGTTTCCTCTGTGGATCTCATGGGATCGGAAGCCATCACTAAGCTCCATGAGTAAAGCCCAGAGCACCATCCCAGGACAGGAGAAATGAAAGAAAAAACTACAAACTATGCAAACGCAGATGTATATGAGGATAGAGTTCATCTCTACCTATTTTGGAAGAAAAACATCTTAATGGGTGTCTTCATCCTAAGGTGCCTCATTGTTTAGCCATAACAGCTATGCTTTTCTAGAGTTTCCCAAGAACTCTGTCAATTAACTGGAGTTAATTTCCTATCTCCATCTCATGTCTATTTGGTTCAGGCAGAACCACGGCCACTGTGGTGCTGGTTCTCTTAGGCTTCCAGCTGAGTAAAGAGTTTAAAGTCTGGGAGTCAGGCGGCTTGGGTGTTAGTCCTAGCAGACCCTGCCTCTGGCTAGGTCAGTGGTTATTGACCAAGGCTGTACATTAGAAACATGGGAAGCTGGTAAAGACACTAGTTGTAAGCTATGTCCCCCCTGATAAATCAGGGTGCCTGAAGCTGAGGCCCTGGCATTGGCATTTTTAAGAAACTCTTCCAGCGATCCTGATATTTGGCTAAGGCTGAGAACTAGCAGCTTCCACCTTTGCGATCGATTCAGCTCCCTTTCCACTCTTAAGTCAATCACTCTGATCATTAGATTCTCCATGTGCTGGTCCGCAAGAGTGTTGATCACTCACCACTAGGTTTCCTTTCAGTCTCTCGAAGATTTCCCATCATTAAATTTCCTTTTTGTCTCGACAATTTTCTGAATCTCTTCTTTGCCCTTCCCCCACCCCACAAATTTCACTAATTCATTCATTAAACAAATAATCCCCAAGAGCCTCATGGAGCCTGAATATTATTCTAGGGGGTTAGATATTCGGTGTTCTGAGCAGAACACATGTGGCCTCTCTCTGCCCTTTGAGAGTTTGCAGACTGGGTTACATGAAGTAAACAAATAGATATTTCATGATAATGAGTGATTGTTACAATTTGCCTTATTTTTTCCTTTGCTAAGGAAAAAGAACAGGGCATGAAGATAGCTTATATCAGGGCCTTGGGCACTGCAGAAGGCCGGAGACGCCTTCCCTGACGAAGATAACCGAGCTGAGACCTGAGTTAAAGGTAAAAAATGAGCTCTAGCACTGAAAGGCCGGCTGGAGCACCACCGGCTGGGGCACGGGCCTCCGGATGAGGCTCTCCAGGCAGGTCCTTCCCAAATCGTTCAGGGCCTCGCAGGCCATGCTGAGGAGGTGACGGAAAGCGCTTAAACAAGAGAGGGCCTTGACAAGATTTTATTTTAGAAAAATGTCTCTGTTTTCAGGGTGAACAGATCTGAGGGGGCCAGGGCGAGTGTAGGGAGGTCAGTTAAAAGGTGGTTAGGAGTCAGCCAGCAACAGACAATGGTTGGTCGGTTGTCCTTGGGCTGTGAGTGGGAAATCAAGAGAAAGGGTTGGCGCCAGGGGGCTTAGGGATGGTAAAATCATTGCTGCTCTGCCATGAATGGGATGCAGAGAGTAAGCGGAGGACCGTGGCTGGAATGATGTGGCGGGTAGTTTTCCATTTGCTTTGTTTATTTTTTAATCCTCACCTAAGGATATGTTTATTGATTTGTGAGAGAAAGGAGAGAGAGGAGAGAGAGGAAATGTCAATGTGAGAGAGAAATGTTGATCGATTGTTTCCCATACGCACTCCGACCGGGGATCACACCCGTAACCTAGGTATTATGCTCCCTGATCGGGAATTGAACCTGCAAACTTTTGGTGTACGGGATGGCACTCCAACCAACTGAGCCACCCGGCCAGGGCTCCATTAATTTTAAATCATTCCCTGCCTGCCACGGTCAGGGGATGGTTGTGTCTACACATCATCGTTTCCCATAAGCTCTCAGCCACCCCGAGCGCCCCAGCGACTGGAAAATGCCACTGATCGCCAACTCTACGCTACTTTACTTAGGGGTCCTAACCACTTCCTGTGAACAGTCAGAGCCAATCAAAGACGGGGAAGGAGATGAGGAGAAGCAGGGAGCCCGCTAGGTAAAAGGGACACCTACTGCGTGCTTGTGTGGCGCTCTGGAGATCCTGGGAACACGAAGGTTCTGGAAGCAAGGCTGGGGTGGGACCCGAGGTGGTTCTGCATTTCTGACTCACTGTTGGGCAATGCTGTGATTTACTAGACCCCATTTTGGATGACAAAGCACTTTTATAGCATTTGATCCTCCTAGATATCCTAATAAGTAAATACAATCATTATCACCATTTTAAAGACAGTGACTCTCTGAAGTCAAGAAGGGGTAAATACTTTGGCAAAAACACTCAGCTGGGGAGGGCAGTGCTGGGCCTGGGGTTCTGGTCTGCTTCGCTCAGAACCTGCCCCCTTAGAATGAAGCCAGGCCAGCTCTCCCTCCAAAGGAACGCCCTGGATTTCAGCCCTCTTCCTGAGGGAGCTACTGCATGAGAAACATGTCTCCAGGCTTTGCCCTGAGCCTGGGCTGCCACACTTACATTTATGTGGCCACGCCTAATCTTCCCCCAGCAGGAGGAGGGACACTGGGGTGCAGGGGCAGGGAGTCACATACGGAAGAGCCTCCCAACCCCAGCTGCCTGAGCTACTTTGTAGATTTGATGATAAGGACAGTTTTTGATGTGGTTAACCTCTAGGCCTACAGCATAAATCCCCCTTCTGTGGTCAGAACTGCTCTGCAGAGAGTAGAAATCTCCCAGGTTAATCCTCCTGAGAAAATGCAGAGCACAAGACATGAAATAAATCCTTGGAATGTAGCTTCAGATGGAAAGGAGGACATTTTCCTCTCTTTTGGGCCCAGTGGTCTTCAACGTGGGGTACATAGCAGAAACACCTACAACTAAAAAATAATGCCAGGTCTCTGATCTAAACTAATTGAATGAGGGCCTCCAGGGTTGGCCGAGGCATGGGTGTTGTGACAAAACTTTCTCAGTTGTTTCTGATGGGCAGCCTGGCTAGAAACCCCTGCACGGTAGAGGATCAGAGTAATAACTTTGCATTACAAGCCAGTAAGACTCTTCCTGGGAGCTTCATGCCTTTGCAAGACTGGGATCTTGGGGAGGAAAAGTGGGTCTTGGACGGGGGTTTGATCATTTTTTGGTGCCCTCCCAGCTTCCGCCCAGGTTTCCCACGCTGCCCCCCCTTCCCTGCAGTGGTATGTGGTTGTGCTATGCCCACCCCGGCTGGGCATTTGCTTCAAGGCATGAGCCCAGATGGCTGATAAGTAAAAGCGATCTCACTGGGCCGATTCTCACTGAAGGCAGCCTCTGCGGGGGATTTAGCTGTGGGCAGCTCCTGAAATTTCAAGCCATGCGATGATGTGAAGACTTCTGGTCATTGCTGGAAGGCATTTGTTTTTAAAGAGGTGGGGTGGAATATTTTCTCAGCGTAACATTAGTCAAGCCTGCTTAGGCAGCCTTGAGCTAGGAATCTGAAAATCCCAGAAATGCCCAACGAGGTGTCGCCCTTTTCCCCATCCCCACTTTCTGAGTGCTGCCCCTTGACCGTTCTTCTGCCCCTCTCAGATCATGCTCAGCTTGCACCTGCCGGCTTGGCCTCTCCTGTCCTTCCTTCCTCCTTTCCTTTCTTATTGTTGGGATACCTACTATGTTGTGCTTTGCGGATAAGAAGTCAGAGTTAGGTGTCCCTGCTCTCGGGGAGCTCTGAGATTACTGGTGAGATCAGGAGCACCCAGATGATTCCAGGGTGCTGGGTGAGGACCATGGGCAGAGTGTGGCACCACGAATCCACAGAAGAGACACGTGACCCTGGAGGAGAGCTGGGGCCAAAGTCTTGAGGATTAAGTAAGGGTGAGCTGGGAAAATGTGGTCGAAGGAGGAGGCTGTGGCGCCCTACCACCTGGTTTAAGGGAGAGGACCTTTGGTGCGGGGCGGGGGGGAGGGTGGAGGAAACTTTTTTTTAGGGCAAGTGGATTCCAGGGGGAGCTGAAGCAAAGCTTGAGGTCTCTGGATACCTGCTACTCACCGGTGATCTCGTGCAGGGGACCTCCTAGCTGTAGAGGAATCTGTTGAACAAACTAAGGGTCCTGGTGAGGGGAAACCCCAGAAGGAGGTTGCGGTGATGGAGACTGTCCCCAACATTGTCCTTTTGTTGGGGTTTCACCTTTTCTTCTCCCAAGGGAAGAGCTGATTCCACTCTCCCACCTCAGTCTCCCTTAAGGACACTTGGATCCCCCACCACTTGCCTGGCCGACCTCTGCACACTTGGTTCCTTTTCCTCTTAGCTGAGCCGAGGGAAGATGGGTGGCAGTCTTCTAGACATTCTCAAGCAAGGGACAAAGTTTTAAAATGAATTCAAAAACTTTGTGCGGACACATACATGGCATAGATGCAGTTATTTATTTCTATATTTAATGTTATTTTGTTTCTATAGTTAACATACTTATTTATCCCACTGCGTACTACCTCATCTCAAAAGGAGTGGGCCTGTTTTCAATTGGAGGCAGAGGCCGTGGCGGCACTAAGAATAAGAACGAGACCCGTGAACGGAATTTCAGGACAGAGGAGAAACTATTCAAAGTACCACATATTACCACGTGTCGTGCACACCCACATTTTTGGCCCTAACTTTCAGGGGGAAAAAATCTTTCATTTTAATTTTTAATACATTCATTTATTCATTCATTCATTCATTCATTTATTTATTTATTTATATTTAGATACTTGTTTTTTTGTATTATAAAGGAATTTTATCATGTTTTAAACATATTATGGGACAAGAAATTTTATGTAACAAATAATTACAAAACACAAGAACAGATACAAGGTATTTCAGGCACTACCCATGTAAAATGCGCATCCTTATTTTTCCCTCAAAAATGTGGGCAAACGGTGCACATTATACACAGCAAAATATGGTAGCAGCTAGCACTGGGGATGAAAAAAGAACTCTCAGCTTCCCTGGAAGCAAGGGAAAAGGGAAATCTCCCCGCGACGTGATAAAATAAAATAAACCAGTTTCTCAACAGAGATATATACCAGAGATGTTTACAGATCGCCAATTGTTTAAACGGCAAAAACGTAACTGAGCCTAGTCCCGAGTTGTAAGATCACACTGCTCCCCGGGTACACAGATGCCAGGCCCTCTCCCGGTCTTCCCTGGCCCCGCCTGATGGACGCAAAACATTTCTACCGCCCGCTGGCCCTACTCTTAAGGGCTGTCTCCCTGGCTGCTTCCGAGCTGACCTACACATTCTGAGCAGCCACGGGGTCCTTGGTGGGTGCCTCCTTTATACCACAGATCACCTCTTGCCATAGGGCATCTCTTCCCATTTCACAAGCTGCCTCTCCACGGACCGGCGAGTAGGGATGCTCCGAGGTCCCAGTTTATTAGCAGAGGAAGGATGCTCAGCATCCCTGGCGCCTCGGGAGCAATCACATCCTCCCCAGTTGAGATCTTCAACTTTCCCACTCGCCCCCGGGACCCTCGCCTGCTATCTTGGGTGTACTATTCAGAGACGGGACCATGGAGCACAAGTTCCCAAAAGCCTGCAGGGTACTTGGATGTGCTAAAATTATTTGTACAATTTTATGTGGGGATTACATCCATGTGAACAGTTTTCTGGAAGGAGGGGCTGTAGTCTTTATGATATTCTCAGGTGGGCTCAGAACTTCAAAAAGGTTAAGGGTCATCATTGTAGATTTCTATCGGTGCCTCTGTATCATGTTGCCAAGCCTTGCACTGTGAGGCACAATAACATGCCCAGAAGGTGCGTGCTCTTCTCTCCACTTGACCTTAGGGCTATACTTTCTACACCTACTGCTCAGGATAAGGCGGAGGCCCTTCCTCAGAACTAAAATCCATAGAATGTCTCTAGCACCGTGTCTGCCCTTTTCTGTTGCCAAGTTATAACAAAGCCACAATAAATATATCTATTATACTTCATGGTTTATAAAGTACATCCAAATACATCATCTAATTTCAACTGCAGAATAACCCTGGGGAGGGAAACATCAGAGTTTCCATTTTACAGATGAGAAACCTGAAGCTCAGGGATGTTTGGAGATTGATTTAGAGTTTTGCCGGGGCTCGTGGGTTCTGGCCCCATACGGGAAACTGAATTCTGTGATATGTTTGCTGTCTATTTTGTCTGCCAGCAACCACAATGAGATTGGAAAAGCTGGACTGTCCACATGGATGAAACCCTTCCAAGCCACTAATACCTCTTCCTGTTACAGTAACTTTCTTAACCCAACGCTCTGAAATGTGATCTCTGTACATATATCGTAAGTTACTGCTAACAGCGTGTATATGAAAGGTGACTTGTGAGGAGATAGCTCAAGTTATTGGCATAAGCAGCATGTATTAAGCCTTGGATACGCAGACTGATGTCCTGGTCACAGAGTTGGCCACAAGGACAAATACCATCAAGGGTTGGTGGTGGGGGTAAGCTGAGCTTTTCTTCCTCTTGCATAGACTTGACTTAGTTTAAATCACTTACCCAAAAGGATTTGAGTCTTACTCCATCCGAAAGCATTTCTCACCCGGAGCTTCCCCTCGTAGGAGGCCTATGTCACTGAGCAGGATAAGATCCGGCTGGTCGGGGAGCTGGTGACCATCACCGGGGCTGTGATCATGCTGTTCCTCGAGGTGAGGTGCGGGGGGGTCCAGGCTGAGCCCACCCACCGAGGCCCCAGGCCGAACTGCCTTCTCCATGGCCTTTTGTTCTACCCTTTCTAGATCCCGGACATCTTCAGGGTTGGCGCCTCTCGCTATTTTGGACAGACCGTCCTTGGGGGGCCATTCCATGTCATCATGTGAGTGTCCCTTCCCTCCAGCCCCACGCCTTCCCTCACCAGCCTTGTTCCAGGTCTCTCTGGGACCTGGCCCTCAGCTGACCCTCCCTGTGTGTGTGTTTGAGATATAAAAACTAAGCCTGAGTGTGTGGGTGTCCCCCAGGTGATGGCTGTGCTGGAGGGGACCCAGACTATTTCCAGCCCTCCTCTCATTCCCTGTGCCCTGCTCTCCCCCCAGCATCACCTCTGCATCTCTAGTGCTGGTCACCATGGTGATGAGGCTCACCAGCACCCACGGGGAGGTGGTGCCCATGGCCTTCGCCCTGGTGCTGGGCTGGTGCAGCGTCATGTACTTCGCCCGAGGATTCCAGATGCTGGGCCCCTTCAGCATCATGATCCAGAAGGTCAGCGCTGTCCCCTGAGTTTCCTCTGGCTTCAGCTATAGGACTTCCCCAGGCAGAGGAAGGGAGGGGGACAAAAAGGAAAATGCTGCTCAGAGTGGGTCTGGTGGACCTATGGGGGCCTCTTGATCTCTTAACAATAGTTGCTGAGAGACAGACAAGCAAAGGATCACCCCCCACACCCCCTCTGCTTCCTGTAGATGATTTTCGGAGATCTACTGCGTTTCTGCTGGCTGATGGCGGTGGTTATTCTGGGGTTTGCTTCAGGTAGGAGCACTGCTCCCTCCCCTGCTAGATCCTGGGATCCAATCCTCCGGATCGTTCACTCTCACTCTTGCTCTCCGTTCTCATTTGCTCCCCCGACCCCGGCCATGGAAAGTGAGTCAGAAAGCACGTTGACATCCACAGAGTCAGGGTCACTGGGATTGGCCTAGAAGGTAGACCCACGTGGTCTGAATTCCTGAGTCAAAGGCATTCGTGTTGCCTAACCGTCCTGCAAGCTCTCTAAAGGACACATAGAAAAAGGGCTTTGGAGCGAGAGGGACATTAGCCAGGAACGAATGGCCACTTGTGGATTTCAGAAGGTGAGGTAGGCAAACAGAGACAGAGCAGTGTTTAAGCCTTCTCTCTGTACACTCTAGAAGAAGAAACATAAAACATTCAATAGCACATACCGTGCTTTTTTGCTATGTGTGTTCAAAATTAAAAGAAAAAGGGAAAGAATTTTCAAAAGAAGGTAGCAAAAAAAAACAAAAAAAAATGTTTGGAGACCTTGAAGACAGAGAGGAAAGCAGATGGAGAGTTGTGAAGAGACACTGGGAAGAGAGAGGCAAGCGAGGGCTCACCGAAGGCAGAGGCGCAGTGGGAGAAAGCCAGGGGAGAGAGAAGAGCACAACGAGGAAATGGGGAGAAGGGTGTTGGAGTGGAGGGGACAGAGGGAGGGATGGGGGTAGGACAGGGAAGGCAAATGACTAGAAGGAAAATTTTAGGGAAAGGCAGAAAGAGGAAGAGCAAAGGGCAGCAACCCTAATCTTCAGTGTCTGCAACTGTACATTCATAAGAAAAGGGGGTGTATTCGATGATATTTGAAGACCCCTAACTCTAAAAGACCAGGACTCAGTATAAAGGCCACTCTTCCTGTCCTAGGGATTCCCTGTTGAATGGGGATCTCACAGAACAGTAGACCAAAACAACTGCGCCAACAGCCGAGCTATAAAAGGGGAAGACTGTAAAAAATTATATATATGTATAATTTTTGCTCAGTGACTGAGTATTAACATTATCCAGAGTGATAAGACATCTCAGGATTAGCCAGGTCTGCAGATAAAATGTGACTTATGTGTATACATTCACATATCTACATTTATGGATGTGTAAGTTTGTGTGTGTGCACGTAAGTGTATGGAGATACATGTTAGAGGTAGAACAAATGCTTATTGGGATAACTCTCTTTTTTCTTCATCTCTATTCCCCTTTCTTGGATGGAGCAGCCTTCTATATCATCTTCCAGACGGAGGACCCAAAAGAGCTGGGGGAATTCCATGACTACCCCACGTCACTGTTCAGCACCTTTGAGCTTTTCCTCACTATCATTGATGGCCCTGCCAACTACGACGTGGACCTGCCCTTCGTGTACAGCATCACCTATGCTGCCTTCGCCATCATCGCCACCCTGCTCATGCTCAACCTCCTCATCGCCATGATGGGTGACACTCACTGGCGGGTGGCCCAAGAGCGGGATGAGCTCTGGAGAGCCCAGGTGAGTTTACTAGTGTCAGTCTTACTTAGGTGCAGGGTATGAAGAGAAAAACCAGAGTGTGATGATATTATGGTGGATGACTCTTAGGAGAGTCAAAGAAAACCCAGCGGGCCCGTCGCCTTAATAGAGGTACATTTGGCTAGAGGGAGGGGACAAAGGAGGGTAGAATGGTAGCAATGGGTAGGATCAACACCCAAGGTTGGAGGGTATTGGTCACAGGGCAGGAGTAGATCCAGCAGTCATTGTTCAGTCCAGTGAGAACTGGACACTGTTTTGTTCTTATACATTCTAGTTCTTCATTTGGACCTTATCTTCTACTGGCTTCTGTAAGTCCCTCTTTCTATGTGATCTGGTTTTTTCTATCATAAGCTAATAAAATTGTCTAGTTGGCAATGTCCTTAGTGCCCTCTGGCTGACTCTCTACCTCATGTATAGTCATTTATTGGTCAGAGGGTCACCCAATATCTTTTTAAATGCTGATCAGGACCTTATTATCATGTGGATTTGGGAGGAGGAGAGCTTATTTCACATTTTAATTTTTTTTTTTTTTTTTTTTGGTTATTGGAAAAGCCCATGTTATATTGAGCTGAAATTATCTTTCTATAATTTCATTCTTTGGCCCCAGTCTTTTTTCTTGTATCATGGAGAACACACTCTGCTAAATGAACACCATTCAAATATTTGCATACAGCCATTGTTTAATCCCTCAGACTTCTTGTTCTTGTAGCAATAATTATTTAGAGGCTGCTGTGAGCTGGGAAGCGTCCAGGAGCTGGGAGGCACAAGCGCGGACACACCAGTGCAGCCTGTGCCCTCACAGAGCATACAGTCTGGCTGGGAGGACAGACAGTAAACAAATGACTTCTCAGAAAGCTGTACAATCATTGCAGAAGTGTCATAGAGAAGTAGAAGATGTTAAGAACAGGGCACAACAGAGGAGTCTGACAGGACACTCAGCAAATGCTTTCCTGAGGCAGTGACATTTAAAATGAGTCCTAAATGTGGGTGAGAATTAGCCAGTTAAGATGAGGGAGAGGGGCGGAGGTTAGGGTTTGCATCCGTCGGGACTGTTGGCTACAAAACAGAAAATCAAGCTCAACTCGACTTAGAAAAGGCGGTGGGAGGAGTCTCTGTTGGTCCTCATACGTGGAAAGTTTTAAGAATTGAACGAGCTTTGAGCATGCCTGGCTGGAGCCCAGGCCCCCATTTCACACGCTGTATCCGCTGCCCTGTGCTGCTCTCTTGTCCAGCTTTTCTGAGGCAGCCTCTCCTGCCATGTCCTGGCGGTGAGACAGCTCAGGGGAGCTCTGAACCCCCGAAGTGAAGAGCAGGTGTGCTGCTCTTAGCACGATGCCAAGGGCCCCACGCATGTTGTATGTACCCTGTGTACCTCCTGACACTGCGAAGCACATGCTTTTAAAGGGGCATCTTCCCCTAGAGAACCCAGCCTAAGTCCCATATCCTCGCCCCAAGTCTGAGTCATAGGCACATTCTTAAATTGAAGGTGAAGGCCAAGGGCTTGATGATGGTGCAGGTGGTGGAAGAGGAGTCTGGGGGCAGATGGACTAAGTAACCAGAGCTGCGAGCAGACAAGTCTACTCGACCTGGAGGACTGAGGGTAGGGGGCGGTGACTCTCTAAATGAAAGATGGGCTGAAAGATGGCCCAAGGGGAAACGATAAATGTCCTTTTTATGATAAAGAGGGAGAAGAGCTACCCAGGGAAAGGGAAGAGAGGGATTGAGATTTCTGAGGTTGGAGGGGACTTGGTGCACCTAAGAAACAAAGAGAAGGTCGAGAGAAGTGTGGAGCACTGGGAAGACAGAGTGCAAGAACAGAGCGTGGAGAATTGGGCTTTTTAAAGGATTAGCACTTCCTTCAATTAATAAAGCTTCCTGGCCCCAGTCCATCCTGAATGCACCCTCTGTTCATGCCCTAATACGTCATGGTCCTTTCAAAACTAGAATGGTCCTGATATGATTAGAGGAATGCGGTGTGAAGAGCGGGCCCACCCTTCCGTGTTTCGGACACTGCACTATAAATAGCACCTAAAATTGAGTTAGGTCTTTCGGTAAATATACAATTGGCCCTTCTTAAGCTTATGATCAACTAGAGCCCCACATCTCTGTTACACAACTTATTAAGCTAAGCTCCTTCACCGTGTTCAGACTTGAGTCTGAAACGTTAAATGAAGAACCTCACGTTTGGTTTCCTTAAATTTTATGTTATTAATTTTTGCCCAGCATCCCAGTCTGGTGAGGTCATTTTTATATTGCTGCTGTCACCTTGCAAATTACATATCCTCCTCCCCCCATTTTGAGTCACTGGCGTATTTGATTAAGTTTTTCTTCTACGTTTTGTCTAAGTAATTAATGAGGGCCGGACAAAGTACAGAACATGTGACACGCCACTAGAATTTCCCTGCCAAGTTTACCGTCATTAACCCATTCTTTTCCTCCTTAGGATGTGAGTATTTAATTGGCTACAAATTCCCTGAACACCAACAACATTACTTCATCCTCCAGATCATTGAGATTCCATTTAATCATTTTATTTAAATCAAGATAATTGGTCTATGACTTTCCTATGAAAAAGCCAATGAGACTACTTTGGAGTGACTCATTTTTCACAAATCTGAATAGTAATATAGGGGTCGCTGTTTTATTTAAAGCACTTATAAAATATCCTCTCTCCTTTTATGATGAATGATGAGTAAAGCTGATAGCCAGGTGCCTGGCACAGATGAGGGAAACGATAAAGGCCTATGAGCCCCGTCATCTGGTATCCTTAGTCCACAGTTTCCCTTCTCTGTGGCCTCCAGTGTCCTCTGAAGCACATGGGTCTTTCTGAGCTGTTCCTCCACCTCCCTCCTCCCTCCTCCCTCCAGGTCGTGGCCACCACGGTGATGCTGGAGAGAAAGATGCCTCGCTTCCTGTGGCCTCGCTCTGGCATCTGCGGGTGCAAGTACGGTCTGGGAGACCGCTGGTTCCTGCGGTGAGTGACGATGTAGATGCATGAGCTGAAAAGGTGTGGGATGCCGTGGGAGCAAGGGCGGCTAGTTCCACATTTGTCACCCCCCTCTCCGTTCTCAAGATCCCAGATTTGACCCGCAGGGGAAGTCATCACTCCATAAAGGGAGCCTGTGAGCCAGTTTGAGGGGGGAGGCTGGCGCCGAGGGGGGATAGAAAGAATGACAATAGCAGATCCTGGGCTGTGTGTACATCAGGGCAGTAACATGTGAAAGGCTCTGTGTTATATATGTGTCTGTGCTCGCATGAGGGCACGGGCTACCCATCTTGTTCTAGCCTTGCTCCCAGCTGACCCCCATTCCTAGCATATCCTTGCCTTGAGGCTACCCTCCTTCATACTCTATTCTTAGCTCCAACCTGGCTCTCCTCTTATCTGTGTCCTGAGTGCACCTTGTCAGTGACATTGTTATCTCTTAATTAGCTTTGTTTCTCTTTCACATGCCTCCACGTTCCTCCACCTTCATACTCACACTCAACTCCCATGGGCAAGGCCCCTTTGGTCTCTACCCTAGCTGGTCCTCCATTCCACTGCTCTTTCCTTCACTTGACCCTGGATGCTCTTCTTATATCAACTCAGCTCCCTACCTTCCCCCTCCCTCTTGATCCAATTTCCTACCTGCGGCCCATTTGCCTCAGTTTTTCCCCGGGGCGCATGTCTCCCCACCTCAACGGAGTGCTTTCCCCTCCTCCCGCCCCAGAATCGAGAGTCTCCATGACCAAAATCCTTTGCGCGTGCTCCGCTATGTGGAAGCTTTCAAGTCCTTAGACAAGGAGGATGAACAAGAGCATCTTTCCGAGAAACATCCCTCCGTGTTTGAAAGTGAGACTCTAGCCAGAGCCTCCATGACCCTGCCAACGCCTTCTCTGTCCCGGACCACATCCCACAGCAGCAGCAGCCACCGGGGCTGGGAAGTCCTTCGTCGCAACACCTTGGGACACTTGAATCTTGGACTGGACCCTGGAGAGGGGGATGGAGAGGAAATAGTTATCTATGAGTAGGACCCCTGTTACTCTTGGCATGGCTCCAGGTGTCCTCGGGTGGGAGACAGGCAGAGGGACATTTTCCTACGTCAGTATCTAACTCCCATGCAGTTAATCATGAGAGGGTGTGGACAGAATAATTTTTGAAGGCCACGTCTCAGCTTTCACCCAAGCATTTCTGGAGATGGGCTATGGGCCTATGCATCCTCTGGAAGTCCCACATCTTGGGAAAAGAAGGTCTCTTTTCACGCAAAGTTGGACTTGGCCATCAGAGAGAGACGTGAGGTAGGGATGCTAGACTCACGAAGTCTGCCCCCTGCAGGTACTAGGAAGTAGTCAGTGGCAGAGTTTGTGTGGCCCCACCTGCTTCATGTGGGCGGGGCCAGGCACGGAGCTGAGGTTGTGGCTGTTGCCTTTTTCCCATAGCCCTGGAGGACTCTCTCCCTGCCTAGCAACCAAACCACAACTAAAACACTGCAGGAAAGGTGGCTCTTTATCCTTGTTTTATTTTCTTAAAAGGTCATTGTGGTAATATACACATACAATTTACCATTGTAATCATTTTTAGGTATACAATGCTATGGCATTAATCACATTCACATTGTGGTACAACTATCACCAGTATTTATCTATAGTATTTATCTATAGGACATTCTCATTATCTCAAGTTGAAACTCTTGTGCTCATTAAACATTAACTCCCCACTCTCCTCGCCACAGTCCCTGATCACCAATATCCTACTTTCTGTTATAAATTTGACTGCTCTAGGCACCTCATAAAAGTGGAATCATCCAGTATTAATTCTCTTGAGTCTGAAGTATTTCACTTAGCATAATGCTTTCAAGGTTCATCCATGTTGTAGCATGTATAAGAATTTCATTCCTTTTCATTATAATTAATTGTATGTATATACGAATTTTGTTTATCCATTGTTGGACATTTGAGTTGTTACCACCTTTTGTCTCTTGTGAGTAATACTGTTACAAATGTTGGTGTACAAATATCTAAGTCCCTGTTTTTGGTTCCTTTGGATAAATACCTATAAGTGGAATTGCTGGATCTTATGGTAACCTTTGCTTAATTATTATTATTATTATTTTTTGAGAAACTGCCATATCCTTTTCCACTGTAGCTGTGCTATTTTACATTTCCTTCAGCAATATATGAGCGTTCCATTTCCTCCAAACCTTCACCAATACCTGTTACTTTCTGTTTTTGTTGTTATTTCATCAGTAGCTATCCTAACGGATGTAAACTGGTACTGTATTGTGGTTTTGATTTGCATTTCCTTAATGCCTAATGATACTGAACACCTTTGTATGTGTTTATTGGCCATCTGTACAACATTTTTTTTTTAGAACTGTCTATTGAAGTCCTTTGCCCATGTTTGAATTGTGCTGATATTTTGTTGTTGTTTCTGTGTTGTCTTATCCTTGCTTTTTGAGTCTTGGAGCCTACAGTGTTTGCATCTCATTTGCATCCTGGTGTGTTTTTAAGTATGGGTGGGACATTATGCCTTTCTAATCATTTTTTTTTTATAGGACCATCCCCGGTCTGTCTCTCAGGTGGCTCGTTAGCAGCTAATCGTCCTTGTGTGTAGAGGTAGCTTCCAGCCATGTCTGCTGCCACCACCACCTCCATTTGCCCCCGTGCTGAGCGGTGGGGTGAATGGCAATGAGAGAAGAGGGGCAGGAGGAAGGAAGTTAGGAACTAGGCACCCGGGGCATCCATAACAGAGCTCAGGAGCAGCCTCCTTCTTGTCTCCAGCCCTTTCCTCCTCACCCCAGCTCCATCATCGCCCTCACCAAAAAGCCCTAATAACCTTGAAGAGGACTGCGGCCTACAGGAGCAAAGAGACATGTGGGATTTGTGAACCCATAACCAGGTTCAGTCGGTTCCGCACGCAAAGCACAGAAGAGTGTGGGACAGCGGGGGTCCCGCGAGCGCGCAGGCACACACTCCCACACACAGGTTCCAGCGGGCGCAGGTTCTGAAAGTGCTCAGTCGCCGGGATCCCTCCTACTTTCTTTGAGCGTGGAAGCACATCCTCTCCTGTGGACAGCTAAACTCCCATCTGTCTCCAGATCCAGTTTTCTTTCTCTCTTCTATCATCGGTGTCTACCACTGTCTTCTCTAGTGTTCTCATTTGTGTCTCCTCCCCCTCCCTCTCTGCTAGTGCCAGTCAGCAAACAACCATGCTCTATTCTTTTCCATCTTCCAACGCATTGCAGACACCCTCTGCCTCACCCTCCACCTTTTAGCTACGACTGCCTTGTCTTCTGCAGTCCCTCTGTAGGGCCAGACTTCTTAAGGAAAGACTCCATTGTGCACTGACCTCACACGGGGTCCTCAGTCTATTGTGACGGGACCTTACCTCTCCATACTATGGATATTGCCCTCATCAAGGTTATCTGCCTACCTGTAGCTAAATCCACTGAAAGTCTCCGTCTGGCTTGAAGTCTCTGTTGCATCTTTCGGATTATAGTCAACCACCCACCCCCTCTCGGCAGGCCCACTGCCACATTCTGCCACTCTGCTTCTGTTGTGCCAATCCCTTCAACGTTTTGGGTCCATAGGCTCTGCTTTCCTTACCACCAGGGCAGGCCCATCCACTTTGAAGGCTGTATCAGCACGGACACGTTGGTCATCTGACCCCTTGTCTTCAGGTTAGACCTGTCTCCTGAGCTCCAGGCGTGAACAGCTGGGCTGCCTGCCTAGCAGACAGCTATACTTGGATATTCTACAGATGCCTCAAACCCAACATGTCCCAAACTGAACAGCTTTTCTTCCTCACCCAACCTGCTCCTCTACCACTGTTTCCAAGCAAATGATAGGCGAAGTTGCCCAAGCCAGAACCCTAGGCCTCATCTACACGTCTGTCTCAACTCTCATCTCCAATAAATCTCCAGTCCTCTGGGTTCTAGCGCCTAAAACACCTCCTTTGAAAAGTAACTAATGGTGATCAATAATACATCACAAAATTGTAAGAGCACACAAGGTGTCCAGAGAGCAAAAAAAAGTGCTTTCCTACCCCTGTCCTAGCCCTTCTGGCGTTCTTCCTGGGGACATTCCCTTATAATATAGTTTGTTATTTATCCTTCCAAAATTATTCCATGCACATCCAAGCATATGTTTGCATACATTCTTCCTAAAAACACACGTAATAGTACAGTATATTAGAAAAACAGTTCCTGCTTTTTTCATTTAATATATTTTAAAGGTTGTTCCATGCCCATACAATGTAAAAACAACCCCTTGCCTTTGACTCTGCCTCTCTGAGCCCCGCCGGCACGCCAAAGCGGGCCACCGCTATCTCCCGCCTACGTTACAGCAGTAGGCCCCTAAGCGCGCTCTCCGCCTGCGGCCTCGGTCTTCCCCAGCCCATCGTGGGCACTGCAGCCCAAACGGCCTCTGTACGATGCAACCTCTGCCTCAGACGGCGGCCCCCTAAAAGCCCTGTCATGAGCCGACCCCTGCAACCTCTCCAGCCTCCTCACGCCTCTCCCATCTTGCACTGTCACCAAGCTGAAGTATTTATTAGTTGCTCAATGACACTATCGTCTCCTTCTCCTTGACCATCACAGTTTCTGGACCTTCCTACCTTTCTGCACCCGTGACGCCCTTCCAGCCTAGTAACCTGTAGTCATCCCATTGGTCTCGATGATCATGCAGACTGTGCGTGTGTGTGTGTGTGTGTGTGTGTGTGTGTGTGTGTGTGGAGGGTGTCCCAGACACACAGGCTGGGCTAGAGTCCACCTGCTCTGTGTTCCCAGGCCACCTATCTTTTTATTTTTATTATACATCCTGTACTTTATTGTAGTCAGTTGTTTAAATGTCCATCTTTAGTAAAGACGTCCATCTCATTCATCATTGTGCTGCCTGTGCGTGGCATACTTTCTGTACACGGTAGTGGGTGACAAATATCCATGAATAGAATCTGTGAATAATTGACCTGTTTTAATTCTAAGAGCTCCCCGTGGGGTAAAACATACTTGCCTTTGACTGGGGTTGTAATCATTAAAAATGAGCAGACGATAGGGGAGGGAACTCTTTGGAAAGGACAAATGCCAATACGAATGTGATTATTGAGAAAGTTTTCCTGTGTGTGTGTGCATGAATCTGTGTGTGAGAGAGAGCCAGGAAGAGAGAGAGAAAAGGGGAAGAGGAGGAAGAAGCTGAGGAGATGTGGACTACCATGAGGAAGAAGACAGGGAGGGAAGAGCCCCAGCCGCAGCTCCGGGACGGACCTCACCAGACCGACTGGTGCGCAGTGTTTCCCGGCAGAAGCAGTCAAGTCAGTCTCCAGGCTTCTGAGTCTGCCCTCAGCAGCCCGGACGGGAAAGGCAAAGATGCCAGCGTAGCCACTGCTGCAGGGCGGCGCTCAGAGCGTGTGTGGCCCCTGAGCTTCAGGGTTCAGGCGGCCGGCAGGTGCTCTCATCCCAACAGGCAGCCGCCGGGTCTGTTGATGTGACTCTGGAGACAGGGGCCGGGAACAGGGGACAGAGAAACACTGCGGTGCCTGCCTCAGGAACTCTTCGGGTATCCCCAAACGGCTCCCCTTCTCCCCTCCCCTCTGCCTCCTCCCTGGTTGCCTCAGAGGGCAGAACCTTCTCACTCCTGAGTGCCTCCCACACCAGAGGCTGCGAGGGGACACGGGAGATGTTTTGTTCTCACAGGAGGCTCTGAACTTTACCAATATGTCCCCTTCCAGCTGTTTGCCAAGTTCTTTATGACAAGGTTCTCATAAGGGAGGTCGTGAAGGAGCCCCAGGGAATGGCTCTGCCAGTGGCTTTGGAAGGAAGGCCAGAGGTCCCTGTCCCTCCCCTGTGCCACACTGAAGGAATGCCAGAGAAGGTCTGGGGCCCCGAAGGTGACAAGCCAGGGAGGCAGATGTTGCGGGTCTCCGGGGCGCGCTGTGCAAGGCAGAACCAGGGCGGAAAAATGGAGGTGGAGCGAGAGCCAGCTGTGGCACCCGCATTGACTTCTGCACACCTGAGTCCAAGTGACGAAAGACGGGA